TTCACCGGACGCTGATCTGATTTCCATGCTTCTGCAGTCTTCTCATCAGCTTGTAGATTTGACAGACAAATTCCTGGCCCGACTGTTGTCGCGGATTCTTCAGCGTGAGAGCTGCCGCTTTCAAGTACTGATTTGTATTCTTAAGCTAAGCAAGCCTGATAATACATTGTAGAGGTGGCAGCATGTCTACCTACATAGACCCTCCACCTTACGTCCCCTTCGATCCTTTTCCGCATCCTTCGCGGGGTACAGCCGGTTCCGTAAGTCAATACCAGTTTGCACCTTAAGCCTACTTCCATAGCCGCCCTAAAGACTCCATCCTCGATAGCCATCTTCAGACTCCTATTCTCTCAGTAGACCGACACGCGCGTCCGTCCTCTCGAGCCATATAGAAAGTGTCGTACTGCAGTCCGCCCACCCAGTCTTCCGTCGCTTCCATTATATGCTGCGCCCCACAGGTTGTCAACCCTGATTCGCGCTACCTTGCAAGATCTCTCTAACAAGGCCGACCGTGTCTCGCAGGAGTTCATCCACTTGTATCCTCTCTGTACCCAGAACAGCCAAGCAACACAGTGTTGCTCCTCCTACTAACCAAAGTACCTCGTCGTTCTCTGTGTGGGTTCAAGCATGCTGGGTCGTGCCGTATCGTTCGCGTTTTTGTTTTGACCATGTCGTTTCTGTGTTCTCAGACCCAGCGATATCCTCCTTTCAACAGAGCAGCCCGAGAGCACCCCAAGGGTGTCCTATCCCACGACCCTAGTGTCCACTGATTGTAGGATCGGTTTCGCAGTCGTGTGTCGGGTGGTTTTCAAAGTGTTCCCTTGTCGCCTGTGCGTGGGGTCAGGGCCCCTGACCCCTGAGCTCTCGCTCCAGCCGTAGCCCTAGCCAGCGGACAGTGCTGGCCGGTGGTGACTCTTCTTAGCTCTGCAAATAACATCCGGGCAAGGTATTCACAGGTTCCCAGCCGGCACCACGAGGAGGTGAGAGTCGTCGCCGGCCGGAGGTAGGTACACACACACACACACACAATTTATTAACGCCCGGCGGCTAAACCGAAAGGGCAACTATCACTGATCTAAATATACATGCTATGGCTAATTCTGTGCCTCCTTGGAGCGGAGGTAGGTACAGTGATATTCGAAATCAGTTCTACCTGCAATCTCTCTCTTTTTGTTTCCCGGGCCCCTTCACCTCAAGGTACTAGCCTGTATCAGGATATTCATCCGCCGTCATCGTTTGTCCTTGTATCCTCAATGAGTCAGCGTAAATTACAGTAAGTTCCATAGGTTTCCACCCCTCGTGGCTTTTCTGATTTTACAGCACGGATCGATTCCCCCAGTGACCGGAAATACATAACGCAACAATCGTTACAGCCCACAAGTCCGTTATCCATCTTCGACTCTAGTGTGAGCAACCTTTCAACCCAGAGTGCCATGGAAGCCTATACTCACGCCATGCAGGTCCATACACTGTCACAGATATTGTCTGTTGGCCTAATCAAAGATCAGGAGATCAGCAACAGGAACTCTGACGATATCCCCTCCAGCAGACAAATTTCAGAGCCCATCATGCCCTCATCCATTTTCGACCTTAGTGCGAGCAACCTTGCAACCCAGAGTGCCATAGAATCTTATACTCACGCCATGCAGGCCTATACACTGTCCCAGATATCGTTTCTCAACCCAAGTGAGCACCTTGGAATCGGTGACAGGGACCCTGATGATGTCCTCACCTCCAGTGTGCTATACCAAAGTCATGCCCCCCCCTATCGCAGTTGAGTTCGAAGAAGCCGCTAGGCAAGCTGTCAGTGGTTTAGAATCAACCCAGATTTAGCTTATACGGCTCTTGTTAAGCGAAGCTAGGATAGTGATGATGCTATCTGTGGAAATTTAGTAACAGAATACGTTGATATGTAACTTATCTTTCTCTCGAGACAGGCCGTCAAGATTCGTTATAAATTAGGTTTCGGCGGCACTATGTCGACTTGTGGACATATGCTTTATGAATCCGGTTTATTGCATTCTGAAAAAATCTCCATATTCTTTGTTTCCTGGAGTTTACGGCGTGTTTTCATTTCTTTAGCGAGACTTTCTGTTCCCTGTGTTGAGCTAGGGAATTATTTGTTTCTTTTCAATAAAAACTTTGAAAAGATTCTCAGATATCTTTCCACTAGGTTTCGATAATGATGAAAGGCAGCGGAGGGCACAAGTACTAAGCGAAATCACCCCAGATCCGCTTTCCCCATGGGGATTTAAGACCCTTCCTAGAACATGCTGACGAACTGAAGAAGTGGTCGAATACAACTAAGACCCTTCGGGACCGGCTTATTCATCGTTCACCCAATTTGCTCCTAGTATGGTGTCATAACACGCCATAGTTCGAATATAGAGACCCGGAGATCGTTCAACCGATCTTAACAATCAATCAATAATCTGATTCTATCGGATATGTTCAGTACTAGCCAGTACATTAATTCCTCATACTGACACATGCTATAAGATTCTATGGAACTTACTGTAATTTACGCTGACTCATTGAGGATACTGTCGGAGCAGCTGTGGGCCCAAGTAGCATACACGAATGAGATAGCAAAGAGTCTTGATTGTGAACGTCTCCGTTACCATACGATTTTGTATGGTAGCTCGGACAATCTATCTACCGAATATTACAATCACGTTACTAAATACAACATATGACAAAACAAAGCTCCACATATTCCGACAGATACAGGGACAAACGATGGCGGCGGGTAAATATCCTAATACGGACTAGTGCCTTGAGGTGAGGGGCCGCTGTAAGTGTAGATTAGAGAACATTCGATATTTCAATAAATATCTTAATCCTAATTTAGATGGGCCCGTCGGCAATCAATAGGGTATCAGAACACCAATTAACGTGTTTCATGGGTCGGAGGGCCACCCGTGCTGGAGGGCCACCCGTCTCCACAGACGCGTCGCGTGTAGCAACCTCCTTTTTGCAACCATCGCGATGCCACCAATTCGCCATGAAAAGCGACAAAAATTGATTGAACAAGAGGGCAGGATGGAATTGGCCATCCAGGCCCTAAAAAACCAAAAAAATTTCATCTATTCGTGAAGCTGCGCGGGTTTTCGGTGTACCGCGTACAACGTTGCAAGGACGGCTGAATGGTCGTACCCATCACCCAATTGCACGTGCAAATAACATGAAATTGACCGCAATTGAAGAGGATTCATTGGAAAATTGGATACTGGACCTCGATTCGCGTGGTAAAGCCCCCTCGCATGCCATGGTAAAGGATATGGCCAATATATTGCTTGCAGAGCGGCCTCACGCTGGCAGTATCATTACTGTGGGCAAAAATTGGGTATACCAGTTTGTTAAACGTCGGGATGCCCTCAAATCCAGGTTTTCACGTCGATATAGCGCACAGCCTGCCTTATGTGAAGATCCGAAGGTTATAAAGGAGTGGTTTTGCCTTTTGGCCGATAAAATTGCTGAATATGGCATACTCGACGATGATATCTACAATTTTGATGAGACTGGGTTTGCAATGGGGATTACCAGTACTTCAAAGGTTGTTACTGGCAGGGATTTCCATGGGAAGCGAAAACTCCTACAGCCTGGCAATCGTGAGTGGATAACTGTGATTGAATGTATCAACCTAAACGAAGTACTACCTCCGACCATCATCTTCAAGGCCAAAAACTTAATGTCAGGCTGGTTTAATACTGTGCCAAGAGACTGGCGCTTTGAAGTCAGTGATAATGGATGGACAACTGATTCTATAGGCCTCTCATGGCTCGAGGATTGCTTCATTCCGCATATTATCAAGAGGCAACGTGGTACCTATTCGCTACTAGTTATGGATGGTCATGGGAGTCACCTTACCCCGGAATTCGACACAATCTGCATGGCAAATAATATTATTACAATTTGTATGCCTGCACACTCATCACATCTATTAAAACCACTCGATGTTGGCTGTTTTGGTATATTAAAGCACTTCTATGGCCAATATGTGCAGGATATGGCCCGTGTGGGTACTACCCATATTGACAAGCTTGATTTCCTCGATATCTATCCTGCAGCGCGTGCAGCAACCTATAGAAGCTCTGTTATTATTGCAAGCTTTACAGGCTCTGGTATAATACCATATTCGCCAGAGAGAGTACTACAAAAGCTCGATATACGCCCTCCAACACCTACACCACCACCATCTCGAGGTAGTGATAGTAGCCGCGATTTTGTGCCACATACGCCATGCAAATCAGTCCATTTTAGACGTCAGGTATCGTCAATTCAACGACGAATTGAGCAGGCTTCATTTATATACGATGATGAAATACAACGACAACTAGAGCAACTGAGCAGGGGGGGCACAAAGCATAGCAAATAAAGCAGCTATTACAGCAGCTAATTATAAGCGTGCAATGGCTGAAAATGCTAGAAAGCAACGCAAGTATACAAAACCTAGTACCCAATTAGCCTATGAAGGTGGTATTACTGTGGAGGACATGCAAATCCGTCTGCAATTAGCACATGAGACCAATATAGCTACACCATCGGCACCTCCACGCACAGCGAGACCGGCCAATGAGAGGGTGCCACAGCGTTGTGGTAATTGTCGTGTGGAAGGGCACAAGCGCAATAGGTGCCCGCTTAATAATAGCACCTAGTTTTTGCAATTTAATTGGCGTTGGTTGATTTATTCGTATAAAATATAGTGGTGGTGGAGATGGGTGGCCCTCCAGCACGGGTGGCCCTCCGACCCATGAGACACGTTACGTGCCGCCGAAGAACCATGGAAAGGGGTTCGGCATTAAATCAAGTATCAACTGACTCGACCCGCATAAATGACCCACATGCGCAGGGGAAACACGGGTGGGGGTACTAAAAGTCTGAAACACCTCGAGATGATTAATCTATGATGGTACCCCCTTGTGTCAAGGACTCAATATATATACCACCATGTGCTGCCAGCCTCATGACCTCACACGGCATCGTGTTCGAAAAAAAGTATGATGTGGTCGACACTTCTTTTTCTGATCTGTGCCCAGAAAGCCTCGGCTTCACTGTCAGCATCGGTCGGTCCCCTCACTTCTTATGCCTCAAAAGCAGCGACAAAGGTCTGTAACATCGTTGACTACGGCGCATTTCAAAATGGCAGTGACATATCGTCCGCTTTGTCGAGTGCATGGTCTGATTGTGCAGTTGGTGGTCTGGTTTACATCCCCCCCGGCAACTGGTCCTTGGCTTCATTTCCTTTGTTGAAGAACGGCGTGAGCAGCGCCGTTCAACTAGATGGAATCATTCACCGGACTGGATCCGATGGCTCCAACATGCTTGCTTTTCGGAATTGTGAGGACTTTGAGTTCTTCAGTGGAAACTCAAAGGGTGCCATCCAGGGTAACGGACACGAATACCTCGCAGATGGCAATTACGGTCCTCGCCTTGCACGGTTTAAGGAAATGAGACACTTCTCTATCCATGGCATTGCACTCATCGAATCGCCATCCTACTACTTGACACTTGATACCGTCACCAATGGTGAAATTTACAATATCATCATGCGTGGCGCTACGGTGCTCGGTGCCACTGATGCGATCGATGTTTGGGGAGAAAATGTGTGGATCCATGACATCGAGGCAACAAATGGCGATGAATGTGTGACAGTGAAGTCTCCAGCCTCAAGCTTTCTGATTGAGAGTATCTATTGCAACCTGAGTGGAGGCAATGCAATCGGCTCGTTGTCAACGGGCACCAACATTAGCGACATCACCTACCGTCATATTTATGCAAACTGGGCTGATCCTTGCTATATCAAATCTAATGGCGGCAATGGCACTGTTCAAAACATTCTCTGGGATACAGTCACCATGCGCGATGCAGCCTATCCTCTTGCCATTAACTCTGGATGGCAAAGTGAGGATGGCGGCGGTGATGGGGTGTTCTTTAAAAATCTTACATTCAAGGTACGCAGCTGAGCAAGAATTTCTTTGACCAACGACTTTTAAGAGTAATTAGCTGACTAACACTTATTAGAACTGGCATGGATATAATGAGAAGAATTCTCGGTCGACCATTCGGCTAGAATGCCCTGACGAAGTTCCATGCACAGATATCACGTTAGATAATGTGAATCTGTGGTCTGCAAATGATGCAACTTATGCAGTCAATAACTGCTTTAATGCATACGGCACCGGTTCCTGTTTGAGAAACGAGACTGATTCTATGTCTACTTATTCTTCGTATCTCACACTGACTGCGACGCCGTAAGGTCACTTTATTTCCCTAATTTGAATATGAACTGACGTGTACCGTGTGGGAATAGATCGCATTCGACCACCTGGATGCCAAATGACTTCACCACTGAGTTATTTGCCAATTCCACTTTCACAATTCCTCCCATCCCCACGACCTTCTATCCCGGGCAGAAGCCGAGCTCGGCTCTTCTCTCCCTTACTGGCCCTGGAGTTGGTCCAGCTAGTGCAAGCTCCAGCTCAATCGTTGCATCGAGCTCCACTCCTGTTGCTAAAACGTCTACTTCTGTCACGATTGTCAATTCGGATGTCCAAACGACTGGCACAAGTCTTGACAGTGCTGCAACTTTTACTTCTAGTTTGTCTACAAACCAAAACCCCAAACACAATCATGGTCATAATCAGCATGTCGGCAATCACATTAAGAAAGCTGGTCGCCATGCAGGCCATTGAAGTCGCTTTGTGACTATGTCGAGTCGGAACAAGTTTTGCCCTTTCCGAAAAATGTGTATAGTGGCTTTTTTTGCCAATTTCTATATGAACAAGATGGACTAATGGGATCAAATAAGTTGGAATCACATGGTTTCTGTCATTATTTGTTTATTCACACATGAAGTTCAAGAGACATGACAACGAGTGTCACTCTTGGTATGGCAGCACAGATCTTGGAATTTCATTGATAAGTGATCAATCTAAAAGTAGATTTGATGCGAAAGATGGAACTATTAGTAAACCGCGATTGAATTTCCTTGCTGGTTGATAGTGCGTGTTTCTGCTTGATAAGCTGGATTACATCGGGGTATCGCAATTTGACAATATCATCCACAAAGCTCTGATCTTTTCAACCTCTGTTATCGCAGTGACCTGCGTTGATAGGCGTTCATATCTTCCAAGTAGGTCAATTATAGTCCGTAAAAAACTAAAACAATTGTTTAGAAAGCAGCACTCGGATAAGGACGATAATAAGAATTTGCACTTTAGACAAAGAATTAATGTAGGGGTAATTCTTCGAATCACTATGCGTCTGCCTCGACAAAAAAACCAGATCTGTGGTAACGCGCTTGGAATAAACTCGAGCCCAAAAAACAACACCTTATCAGGCCTATATTGAAACAATATTCTATCAAAAAATCGACTCCGATAATATAAAAGACGAATGCTTATTAGATGTTCGTCATACAATCATGAGCCTGTAAGTGTTGCCTGAAGAATTTTATCCCTGTACCTAGTAGCCAACAGCTGGCAGATACAAATTTTTCATCACCTTGCCGGGAAAACGACCGAAATTAAAGCCTGTTCCGTCTGCATCGGTTACATGCCTGTAGCCTGCACTGGCGACATTCGAAAATATATTCGGGCAGGTAATGGGAACATTCCTCACATCGATGCGGACCGCGTACATACTTCCATCTATCGTGGCCACACTCATGATTCTCTCGGAGCTCCTTAATTGTTCTTGCGACCAGAATGTCTCTTGAGGTAGGGGTATAGGTAGGCGTATAAGTGACTTGCGTTTCTAAAACTGAAGCTGTAGCTTCCGGCGTTGTCTGAGATTCTTCATCTGACGCCTCGGACCCCTCCTGAGTTTCTGCTTCAGATCCATCAATCTCCGGCAGAAGCTGACCTTCAGTACGGCTCCGCACAAATCGAATCGAATCGAATCGAACTTTGGCCAAATTCGATTCTATTCGAATTAATATCGAAAATATCAGTTCGTACAAATTCGATTTGAAGACCGATTCGAATTCGATTCGAAGTTCGCGAACTTTTTGTGCTGTTGAGATAGGTAGTTGTAGTGTTCTTGTTGAGGTTACTATCAAAAGTGGGAAGCCCATCTATTTAAATGTCCATCGCTAGTCCCGCCATAAGCTTTGACCACCGCGATACTCAACATGGGGGAAAATTTGCTAGCAAATTTTTCTTTCACTCGGAGGTGGCTATCATGAGCAATTAAATAATAAGTCCTCGGGGTGGTTTGATCGCTATTGGCTGCAACAACCTTACGTGACCAAGGCTGACTAAGGCTCGGAAGTATCTGGTCGATATTTGATCGAGAAAAACAGCAGATTGCTCGGGAAACCTGAGCACGCCTGGGGATTAGAACAACAGTTGATCTTGAAGCTTTGTCACCAACGGCGCGTAGAAGCTCACTTCCGATTGGCAAGTTTCTTAAAACTCAACGCTTACTCCTATTCTGAGTCTACATGGGTACTTTTTGGTAACATTGCCGATCTGTCGGTGGGAATAGAAATTGTGAACTAGCCTTTCGTGGACGTGTATCACTCAAAAACCACGCCGAAAAAGTCCACTCTGTACGTTATCTTACTGAAGCGCAACTTATCAAGGCGGGATTTTAGATAAAGTGCATAGAGAGATCCTCAGACAATATAATATGAATTTAAATCGCAAGTTTTGTTTTCACGAAGTTTTACTTGTATCAAACTCAAGCTAAAACATTCATTTAGAGAAGAGAATTTGAGGCTAATTGGGGAATCTTGTCATTGATTCACTGGCAAAAATTTACTAGTACGTAATTGCTCTGTACACGCTCCACAGGTGCCATTTCTCCTAGGACTGCGCGGATTTACCTTGCTGTCTCTCGTTGGGGAAAATGAACCGAGTAATACCAGTAGCGATGATAATAACAAGGCAATATGATGCTTCGTAATAAAGGTGACGGTAACACTGCCACCTCGGGAAGCGATCGGCTCCCGGAGCCCAACCTGAGTTAGTCCCCCCCGCCGCCCTGTGCTGCTCCCTGAGTGACCATAAGTAACCCTGAGCTACCCTGAGTACTCCCCGCAGCTGCTCTCTAAGCACCCTAATCCCTTACCTTGGGTTAAATAAACACACACACACACATAACACATCACGACTCTGTAAAACGAGCTCTACTCCACGTAACGAATGTTAGGCTGGGGAGGAGTATCCATGCTATAGCCCAGGAAGTAGTCAACCTCGTGAGACTGCATGTATCCATGGAGTGTCATAGCATTGCGATAGGCCGGATTGTGAGGAAGAGTATAGAGCCGGATATCGCTGGGCTGGTTAGTAGTGAAGATGACCAGCTCGGTGTAGTCCTCGTTCACCACCACAATCTCTTCACGCCAGTCTCCGAGGATATCACCCAGGAAGCCCGGGTTGTAATTGTTTGGGTTTTGAGCTCCGAACTTGCTGATGGTGAGGATTCGAGGGAGACTACCACTCGTAGTGGGGTTCTCCCAGTCCCATTTCTCGAGTTTGCCGTCATTGTATAGCTCCATGAGGGCGTCGCCGTCCCACCAGACGCCCATCTGCGGCCATGGTGCAAGTGATTTGTCGTCAGTGGTGGTTTCGTTGGAAGCAGCGTTAAAGACTCCTTGGAATGACCAAACTTCCATACCAGGATAAGTTGGATCAATGTCACCAACCAGACCGCGTCCAACATCGCCAACCTCACTGCCGTAATGCTCCCAGATAAACGTCCCATCGGCAGCGTCGTAATAGTACTCCATCAAGAGATCTTCATTATCCTGCTGGATGCCATACCCTTGCAACCCCTCTCTCTCTGGGTTCATTTTGGCGATATAATAGCGGTCCCCATGCACCACAGGATCAGGCATCGTATACAACAATGACCCATCTTCCCCATTGAGCACAAATCCAATCTCAACAACATCGTCCTTCCCATCCCCATTCACATCGATGATCCGCGTATTATGCCCATCAGCACCAACCAAGTCGTCCCCCATCGAAATCCACTTCTCAGTCACCGTCTCCCCATCCCATGTCCACGCCCCCATTACCCGGTTGAACACCTTATCGTCCCTCCGGTTCTTCATGAACGCCACCAAATGTGGCGTCACGCCATCGAGATACCCAACTCCAAATCTCGCCGCCAACGGCCCATGCTCGATGTAGTCTGTAGGAATCTTGCTCGTCCCCTTCAGCGCCCCTGTCCTCCCATCCAATATCGCAATCCACTGCTCATTATCAATGTCCTGCACGAACTCCTCGCCATCCCCAAAGACAACCCCATTCGCAATCCTCACAGCAATCTCCGCATATCCGTCACTGTCGAAATCGAACACCGTGACACCGTCCCAATTCCCAACGCTGATCGTCGTGCTTCCAGGCTCGATATTGTTTTGGTTCTCACTGTTCGGTCCCAATTGAACCTCCCAGAGGAAGGTGCCATTGCTCGCATACCCCTCAATACTTTGCTGTGTATTCGTCCGGTCAAGTATAAAATCATACTCCCCGTCGCCATCAAGATCACCCACCCAGACAAATTTTATCGCGCCGGTATCTTTGATGGGAATACGAATCACAGGCTCAACGTCGTTATTAGCGGCGAGCGTGAAGCTCCCGCTATCATCTGACTCTTCATCGTCCACGACGGAACGCACCCAATACGTGTTCTCCGCTGAAGCGTCGGCCGTTGTGTCGAGGAAGTTTGTCCCCATAGTGGAGGTTAGGGGTTCGTCATTTAACAGCTCGGCGTCACTAGAGTCGCTCGAGCGGTAGACATTGAAGCCGATGTCACTGGGGTCGAGGCCTAGCAGACGCCAGGTGACCAGGACTTTGTCCTCACTGGCACGAACCGCAACGACGCCGCGGCCCAGGTTTTCCATAGGTCTGGGGCCGAGGGCTTGGACCGTTTGGGAGAGGAGGGTGAGGCTCCCGAGGACGGCTCCGGAGCTGAGTCTTTGAAGAATCCTCATGTTGATGTATGAGTCAATCTGTTCCAATGACTCTGTATTGTTGAGAATATCCAACTCCTGAAGGCATCCGTATTCCCTTATATATACCAAGACACCAGTCCCTGGGCGCACTCTACCTCAAGTAGATTTAGCCAACTAGAGCAAAATCACCTCCGACATGTCCATGATCGGAATAATGATATATTGACAGACGATCAATTGCCTACTCTAGTCTCGGGGTCAGGGTCGGTTGTTCGGAGGCCGGGAGAATTCTGTTGAAGTCTGTCTTGGCGACGCGACGCCTTACCCACAAGGCCATCACAACCATTGGGTATTGAAAGTCTGTAAGCATGGCGCTGATCCTTGAACTGTACGGAATATCATTACTCTTTACAGTTAACATAATTCCAAGATGGATGTGGCTACGGGCTGCTGTCTGTAAATCACCTACCGATGTCTTGGCGAGAGGTCGAGGTAAATGAAATTGTCAAACTGAAGGAGTGGTTAAATACCACTCAAATCCTTTAGGGATAGGATGTTCATCATCCGCCCAATTACCCTAGTATCCCCTAGTATTCGTATGGTATTCGGGATAGACTCGGAGTTATGGTGCCGTAACACACCGCATCGGCATGATACAGACTCTTGAGGGTGTTCAACCACTCTTATCAACCTTCAATCAATCATCTGATTCTATTGGACATCTTCAGTACTAGCCAGTACATCAATTCCTCATCCTGACAGAAATCATTCATCCTTTCATCCTGTATTTAACCGACAAAGGATGAGAGATCTCTCCGGGTCAGTTGGGCCGCGATCCGCAGCACTTGCTCCGGTCCCTGACATTGACGGTGTCTCATTGGATTGCCCCGCCTTCAAGGGGGAGAAAGTCAGAAACACTGTCGGGGTCAGGGGTATTGCATTCCGAGATCACAGCTCCAATTGCGGAGCTCCTGACTCAAAGCAGCTGGTAGCTTCTTGGCAGGCCTTGGCGCCGCGGAGTTGCGTAGAAAAATGTCAAGAGTGGGAAAATGAAATGCACGCGCACGACCCATGAAGCTAAGATCGGGTCTTGGGAGGCCTTGGCTTGGACACGCAAATCACGGTGTGGGATTTACTCTGATGCATAGGGAATCAGGCAATCTAACAATGCTCCCTTTCAAACATCTCCGCCCGAAAGAGGCAATTACTTTATTCCGGTAACTAATTGGTGGTTTATAGGGAGCCATCAAAGGAGACCAGCCTTTGAGCCTGAAGATGGAAGGACAACCGAATACGTGTATCCACCAACTATCGATTGCTTTTGGATGCGTCACTAAAGGAGTTTATCGAAGCACATATTAGATCATTCGATAAAGGAAGAGACTTTTTATAGCGCCCCGTCATTAGTTATTGGTCGAGCGTGAATCATTTTTTCTAACAAAACAAGAAGCACCCAATCTCAGGATAGGATAACTCGGATCTCATCTGCTTCCCCTGGCTTTGCTATCACCTGGATTCTTGGTCTTTTTAACCACAAATTCTGACCCTCCGTCATATCAATTCCCGATGTCTTCGAAACTGCGAATACTCCCGTCGCTAACCACATCTCCGCCGGAGATTTGCTCTCGGCCTCCGCGACCAGTGTGTGCCGAACCGCAGGTATCAAGGTCCTTTGCATGATTAAATTGGTATTTGCATCTGCTCGCAGCAGTAATGCCAGACTTTCGGTCGCAAGCCTGCCACCTCCTGACCGCGGCGCAAGCAACAAATCCCTTTGTAGATTGACAACACCACTGGCGCTACCATCCGAGAAGATCAAGCACCTCTGTTCGTCTTTCCCCCATGCTTCCACCACAGCAGTATCCTGATCCAACAGCCTCTCCAAATCTACCTCTGGACATAACAGGCCCGTTCTTGCCGCACCAGAAGCCGCAAAGCCTGCGTCAACTAACCTGATGGACCCAGGTACGATGGCTGCCGGTGACCACTTCACCTTGTGTATACGGAAGTGCCATCCTGACCACAGTTCCAATGCAGGAATTAGGGTAGTTTGGACCTCGAAGTCAATTGCCTTCTTGGGTCTCCAGGTACTAACAAGAGCCGGCACGGTTCTCGCTACCGTTCCCATCCCTGTAGCCGCTTCGGAAGTGAGGATCGAGATCTGCCGATCCCGTACATTGAACGGATTTTCACGCATAATCCATGCGTCGCCGTCATCGAGACTGACAGTCAGCGTGCTGTCCGGAGCCATCTGCTCTAGCAGTTTGCCACTGGGAACGCTGAATCCAAAGAAGGACGAATACGCCATCTTGCCGTACTTTGCCTCTCTGGCGCGGTGGGCCTTTGTGGTTCCTTGGCCCGATGAGAGCAGAAAGTGATGGCTGCGTCCGCTGCATAGAATATGTCGGGGCGGCCAGAGGAGTTTGACTTCATCGAGGAGCGGCTGGGCAGGCAAAAGGCGGGCAGCAAGTGGATGCGGTAATTCCTTTGCTGTCCAGAAAGAGTGGCTCTCAGGTAGACAAAGGATGGTGAATGATTTCAAACACCAGTATACGGACTGTGGTGAATTGTAGTTCTCACTAAGGAACATGTTTGGATAGGTATAGCCAATATTAATTGTACCATCAGTGTTGAAGATGCCAGGCTGCTTACTCCACCAGCGTAGATGGCGGAGGAGGAGACCTTTGGCCACGCCGATGTTGTTGAGTGGTGCGTCAAGCTGTACCCCGGCGATGGTGACTGCGGACCAGAATGCCGCGAATGCGAACCGGTACGTCAGGCTCCGCCCAAATGGGATGGCACTTCCTAGAAGTCGCTAAGTCAGTACTATGTTCCAAAAAGATATGTCTCGGATTCAGGTGTAGAGAATTCGGAGGCAAATATTTAGATAGTGGAGAAATAAGAATGTTTTATAGGCCGACATACCATCCACATCAAAATACCTCCAAAACCCCGACGCAAACTGTCGTGCGTCCAGCTTATACCTCTCAACTCTACTCCGATCTTCGGAAGTCAAGCCCCTATCCTCCATACACCTCACATATAGCATCCGTGCAAACTGGATTGCAAAGCTTCCCGAGTAATAATCGGCCTGTTTCGTCTCATTACCCCAGAGCCCATCGCTACTCCATCCCTCACCAAGATCGAACGAGTCCAGCATGTTCAAGTCCTGGGCCACAACATCCTCGCCCTGGGACCCCAGCGCCAGATTGACCAACACGCGAAACCAGCGCCAGTTGTTCTCCGGCATTGTCCGTCCATTTATTTGGCGCAGCCACCTTTCTAGATTTTCGCGGGCCATTGCGTCCATCCCGGACAAAAATGCTGCAGGGGCCATCAGCAGCGCATACGCAATGCTCTCCATTTCCACCATGCGCTGGTCGAAGTCGCCTAGATCACCCCAGTATTCCGAAGATGCTGGGTTTGTGCCAGCTCGTAAGCCGCAGACCCATGAGTCCACGTCAATGCCAAGGCTATCTGCATTAGTTGTGGGAGCAAGGAGGCTCGCGATAGCCCAGAGCGGCCGTGCAAAGCCCTCGAGTTGGGCGGAGACCTCATCAAACCCTGCCGCCGTGCCTGTGGAGAGTTTGATAAAGGCCTTTTGGGGGGGACTTGTGCTGCTCCAGTGGCTTTAGCAGGGCGGCGCTAGCCCGTACAAGGTCAGAGCGGGTCCGAAATGGGTTGTTCGTGAAGCCTGGGAGTGCGGCCATGGTTGTAGTTCTGCCTAGTCTTCCAAGTGCGGGGCTAGATTGAGAGTTGGATATTCGTAGGATAATTCGAGGTTTCAAGACAGATTGGGGTTTCGGGGCACTTATAGTCCATTTAGTGCCAAGTCTGCTCTCGGTCCTCGGGACAATGTATGCATTTCGGGTGATTATATTCTTCATGTTCTACTCTCAGTTTACGCGGCTCAAAAACAGTTAGAGCGACGAATTAAAGGTACCCCATACTAGAATTCTCATTAACCGCTCAAGCCACATCTCTCGACCTTGTCACATTAAATTCATTTACTTCCTCTGTTCACACTCTCTCAGCCTTGATCTCATCCTTGGCTGTGGTTTCAACATGGTTGCTTGACGCGCCTAGTTCGGCTTCCTTCTCTGTCTCAACCATGTCTCCATCGACAACCTCCTGGCTTTGGCGTCGCTTCAGCTCTCGCGTCCACAGGTACTGTCCCAACATAAACAAGCACCAGTAAGCGACAGTCAAAACTGTGTTGACAGTAAAGCCCTTGCGCCACTTGGGTGCCTCGAGAACGGGGAAGGCCGTGATTGGATAGAAGGAAAAGAAGATCCAGCCGCAGGTCATCTGTGAATTATGAGAACAAACTGAGGTTAGTGCTCTGCTAACTCCGGAGAAATCCGATGGCCCAAGGAAAAGGAAGAGCAAAGAAACGAAACAAAAAAGAAAATTCTAAACTTACCATCGCTCCCGTCGTGAAGGCTCTAGCTTCGGCATCGTCTTTCATGATCATATTAACCCAAGGAAACAGGATTGGAGTAATGCAAGAGGTCATTCCCAAAAGATAGTAGGCCGTAAAATGAAGCCCTACTGGAATGTCCCACACAAGAAGAACGACATTGGAAAAGAGAAGAACTACGGTTGCGACCGTAAAGGTGGTCCAGATCGGGTAGACCATGCAAAGAGAGGTCGAAAGGATGCCGGTCACTACAGCGACTCCCTGAACACCAGTTGGGATTGTGTTGATCTCCGGGATGGTGTAAGTGCCGTGTTTTTCAGCCTCGTGTTTTAGCCACAGGGCCATTTGCCCGCCAACATAGGTGGTACACTGAAAGCTTGAGATTATCTCAAGAGTCAGTTCAGCTCTGCAAAACACTACGCTTAGGGACTTACCAGATGTAAGTGGTGATAGCGATGTAGAAATGCCAGTGCGTAAACACGCGCTTGAGCATGCGCTTTCCTATCTTCCTGCTCTCCTTGACGCCATCATCGCCCATTCGGGCGCGCGCAAGTTGCTGGTCCCGCTCGGTGAGCCACCAGACTCGGGGGGCTTTGCGGGATGCCGGGGAAAAGGAAGAACCCGGCAATTGCAATTGGAATGCTAATTATACCGTCCTGTGTGGCAACACGTAAGTTCATTATCACTATTCTGTCGTCAGAAAAGGGAGCCATCGAATACTCACTATGATGAACAACCAGCGCCAGCCGTCCATACCCAAAACACCATTCAAATTGGTGTACGCGGCAGCTTGCAGATATCCTCCGAACATTGAGCCGACATTGCTACTCACGTACCACACTCCCGCTCTTTTGAAAACCTCATCAGCGCGGTACCATGAGGTCAGAATGTAGATGCTGCCCGAGGCCGCCGGGGTCTCGAGCACACCCATCAGAAACCGGATGCCAAAGATATCGTGCTCGTTGCGCAGGCGTGCCTGGCAAAATGTCACGATTCCCCAGAGAAGCTCCATGGTCGGCGGATAGTAGCGGGACAGGCTCGGCCGCGAGATCAGCATCATGGATGGGATCTCAAAGAGGAGATATCCTATATTATAGAATGTCCCAAACAGGGAATACTGGTTCCCGCTCAGGTGGAGCTCCTCCTTCATGCCCGAAACATACGCGTTATTGATGTTGCCTTGATCAAGCCATTTGATGAAAACTAGATACGTCAGCGTTAGTATGTGGTTATCTTATCTCATAGTTCTTCTGTCCGAAAATGGATTATAGTTCATTCGCTGAATGCCTGCATTCACTTTCATGGCCCGCTTTGTTCGGGGGTGGTTAAAAGGGGAATACCCACACATCAGACAGCACAGCGGCATAATGAAGCAGTCCAGCTTGCGCAAAAGCCTGCGCTCCTCATCTGAATAGTGGCTTGGGTACCAATCGAAGATATATTTCCATGCCTTCCACAGCGAGGGAGCTGCTGGCCGATTGGTCGAGGAGCTCACGACAGGGGCTTTTTCTGTGTCGGAGGGCTCGTCGGCGGTAGGCGGCGGGGCCACCCTGTTTCCACTGGCCATTTTTTGCTGAACTTGTGTTCTTTCTGAGGCTATTTTCAGGTTCAAAGGAAGGAATAACTGTGGTCAGAGAAAACTGAGTCACTGCTAGACCTCGGCTGGACGCTACAGCGTCTATATAGACGCCAGCGTTCGGGGTAAAGAAAATGATACGACTTTGAGGTTTAAAGACAATTTCATGGCTGACAGAGACGTCCAATCGCAGGGTCAGTTGTGCAGGAAGACACAGGTGGGGGGGTCCTTGCTGCTTAGTGGTTCGGGGGGAAAAGCCGCGGACTTCGGGCGACCTAGCTATATGCCGGAGGATTTTACCCCGCAAAATGGGCCTAGAGCTTCAGAACAACGCCACAGAAGGGAGGCAGTCGTGCTGCCTTAGTGGCATTTGTCGGATGATTGGCGTCGGGAATGACATGGTACAAGCACAGCGTGGAGCATTGGGTTTTACCTAAGGCGATTGAACGTCGGTTAATGTACAGCGGCGGGACCGACAATCGCATTTGTGGATTCCATAAAAGCCCTGGAGCTAGCACTGGCATCGACGCGCCAGCGACATTTCTATTTAAATTTCGTTGGCAGGAGTTACTCCCAAAGTTCCTTTCTCAGAATCAGACTGCGCAACGATGCCTGCTACAGCAACAATCATAAACCCCCATGGGTTGATGCCCCCTCAAGAGGCTTCCAAGGCGTTATTCTCAATATCCACCCCTTCGCCTCACGCAGCCTTATCCAATAAGGTCACTGCTGTCGGTGAAATCACCAAAGCCCCCAATCTAGATGTGGATTCCTCAAACTTAAGGAAGCATCTTGCAGAGCTCTTTGTCGAGAACATTATGGCGAAGGTCTGGCGGGTCGCATTTGAGTCTCTCCCTAGCGCTGGAGCGACACCCGAGGAATGTGCGAAGAAGTTCCCTCGCGTATTTCCCGAATACGTGCCCCAGGTTCCTCAGCATGGCGAGAAGCCTAGCCTCTACCATCTCCGTGAGGCAGACTTCTGGACATGTGGTTTCTTCCCCGGGACCTTGTACGAGCTGCTTGAACGAACAGTACGCTATCCACAGTCCGCTGTATGCTTCCTTGGTTCATCTCCACAGGAGAGACGAGACCAGCTCCGCGCCATGTGTAAAAAATGGTCGGAGCCGTTGCACGACATGGCTAGCAGGACGGACACACACGACATAGGCTTCATTGTCATGCCTGCTCTGCGCAAGGATTGGGAGCTCTTTGGCAACTCTCGCAGCCTGGAATCTATTGTCCGTGCGGCCAACAGCCTGGCAACGAGATACGTTGCCTCCGCAAAGGCTATCCGCAGCTGGGATCTTTTGATCAGGAAGGACGAGCGGATCATGGATATGAGTACCGATCTTATCGTAATCATCGATTCTTTGTGCAATCTTGACCTACTCTTCTATGCCGCCGCCCATAGTTCCTCCAGGCGACTCGCGGAGATGGCCGTCGCCCATGCCCGCACTTTGATACGCACCCACCTGCGTCCGGAGCCCCCTCTTCCACAACCCACGTTCGGAAGGTACAATGGCCAGCTATACTCTACCAACCACGTCACATGTATCGACCCAAAGACTGGCGCCATCAAACGTCGTATGACAGCGCAGGGGTACGGGGACGGGTCCACCTGGGCTCGCGGTCAGGCGTGGGCAATACCAGGGTATGCACAGACGTACTCATGGACCGGGGACACGGAATTTCTGAATGTGGCGTGCGGAACGGCAGAGTATTTTCTCCATAGGTTGAAGACGCACCCTGTTGCGCGGGATCCTGGAGGTGGGAAGTCGCAGTACACTTCCCCACCATGGGACTTTGATGCTCCACCGGAGAGTGAGGGCGAGGAGGTCGTGCGAGATTCCAGCGCGGCAGCCATCGCTGCGAATGGGTTGCTCGTGCTGTCGCAGGCGCTGATTGCGGAGGGAGAGAAGATGCTTGCAGCGAGATTTTTTGACGCAGCTGTGGATTTGATTAGAGGCACTCTGGACTATTCACTAGCGAGGGAAACTGCACGGTTTCATTCTGTCTCTGGCGAAGAGTCTAAAGAGGGTCTGGCTGTGGAAGACCTGGTGCAGGGAAAGCGGTTCGATGCGATCCTCAAGCATGGGACGGCTAACAACAATGAGAATGCGAGGAGGCGTTATGCGAACCACGGCCTGGTGTATGGTGATTACTACTTGGTGAGATTTGGAAACGAGCTGATGCGCATGGGTTTAGTGTAGAACCGTGCAGTATTGCTAAGAAACAGGCATATATTTAGATATTAGACTTCCACATAACCGATAGGACCGGCCCAGGGTACACGGAGCTATATACTTTTTAACTTTTACAGCCTCTGTGTGGTATAATTGGCCCTTTACCAAGAATGGTCTAGATTCGCACTGAACATTCCGTTGTCGAAACTGATGATACGGTCCAAATCCATAAATTGATGGCTCAGCAGCACCTGTGAAATAGCATTCAGGTCGCAGGGCGCTTGTTCTTTCCTGGAGAGTACGTTTCTTTCCCGTATATTGTCGGGTGATGGTCGTTAAGATTTCTGGGGAGCTGTAATGGGGATGAACGCCAAGGTAACGCCATGGCCGGTGCCGCATTGATGAGGCCCACGTTTGGCTGGCTCTCCGCGGGCCTTCCACTACCTTGAAAGTTGTGCGCTGGCTGTGCCTGCAGGTGTTGATATGGCAGTTGAGTCGAGCCATTTTGAGTTGACACAGGAACTGGATCTCCTACAGTAAGGTCGGTCTTACTGCTGCAATGGTCGATATCTTGCGTGTAATCCAAGACATTTATACTGTAGCCCAAGCCCTGCATGCACATATCGTTCATGTCTCTCAGTTTCAAGGCGTATTTTGCCGCCAGATCCTCGGTCAAAGTCGTGGTCTCTGGCACCAGCACATTTCCGTTCCATCGACGCGACATCTTATCTAAACTTTGCACTAGCGTCCAAAACCTACCATCATGGACATCCGATTTGGAGTAAAGAGCAGTGCTCTCTCCGCCGTAGTAGGTCCCGTAGGCTAGAAGGAGTCGGGCTGCCACATAGACGCAAAATGAGAATTGGGGACAGACGGGGGACGTTGCCGGAGACACTTTAAGGTATTGTTCGGTGATAGTGGCAATTTCAACAGCCGCCTGCTGACAGGTCTCTGCAGAGCAACTGCTGGGCAGGCGGCTGCGGAAAGTCCAGTCGTGGGGTGGAAACGCGATAGGTTGATGTAAGAGAATCATGGAAACATTGTGGGTGATGTGTGCCAGTGTGAGATTTGGATCCATCACTACTGTTTGGCGTTTGGCATTGCCCTCAAGCCCCGTCGCTTCTCCACTGCTACTAGGTGTGCCGTTCTGATAGGCCGTGTCGTGGGGCCCGACAGTAGTGTAGGTAGGGTTGGCGGCGTTCCACTTCTTTGGAAGGAGCATCTTCCAATGCACAAGGCGCAGGTCGAGTTCCTTGAACCGTGTAAGCCAGCTGGTGACGTTCTCTGGACGGTGCATGTCGACCTTTTGCTGTAGGAAGTAAGTCGTAACGCGGCTCAGCGACTCGGTTGCTTCGATGCGGTAGGCGAAAGCCCCAACAGCCTCCATCCCGGGATCTTCCGGTGATAAACCAGAGCCGCTGGCGTTGTTGGGACTCGGTTCAGGGGCGTCACTGGTCCCCGTACCTTGCGGAGACACGTAATGGGCCGGAGGAAAGGCGATGGGGTTCCCCATCCGCCCTGCTGACTTGTCCCAGATGCCAAAAAAAGCTGTAACATTGGGGTTGTCTCTTCTCCAATAGACCCCATCGCAAGGAAGGCGACGGTGCACATCATCTGAGGTGAGGCTTGTGTTCCAGCCCATTGTCACGGAGCAAAATCGGTCAATGTTGAACACGTTCCAGAACACACGGCGTCGCTCCTCTGCCTCGACCCAGCTCTCCGGAGAGGGAATAGATATAAACGGCCTTGAAATCGACGTACGGCCTCCGCACTCCTCGTCTTCGACTGTCAGTTTCAAATATTCGACAGTCCGAGTCAGTGATCCGACTAGGGACCACGCCTTTTGCCCCCACCCGTTTCCAATCTGGAGGCTGAATTAGTTGACATGATTCAGAATGTGTAGTATCTCGTGGTAAGTGTATATGACTGGAATAGAAAGATCTCACATCATTAAGCACACAAATTACGAGTGCCTGGAGATTTTCAACGCTTAAGCAATCCATGGCAGTTGAAACAATCAGACTCCTGGCCTGCTCTGTAGTCAGATTAGCCAGGGAGATGTCGGATACGGAGTCATGGCGCTGTATATATCTCCCGGATACCAATATCATGGCTCGCACCAAGACGTCAAGCTTTGATTTGTGTTTTGTGTCGAGAAGACGCCGACGCAAGCTGGTCTCGTGTACAAGAGGGATCCAAGGGTGTATTTGCTCGAAGTATGTCTGCAAAACATCTTCAATTGTGTTTGGATTGAGAAAAGAAAATACTAAACGGCGATCGACATGGGGCAGCGAAGACTGAGAAGGACCGATGAGGTTGTCCACCCGTTGTCGTTTAGCTGGGCGATCAGCGGCGCCGGTTACCGACTTGTCGCTGAATCTCTGAGGTTCCCGTGCCAGTGCAGGCAGAACAAAACCTGCCATAGACTCGTCTGCACTCGGCTGTGTTTGTCGGTTGGACTCTCCTGGCGAATCGTCTCCGAGTCGATCGATAACAAAATCTTCCAGGCGATCTAGCGGCGGACATGTGAGCCTCGTCTGCAATCCTAACAAGCATACCGAGGGGACCTAATTAGAGGTTCACCAGCAGAAGCACTCTTCATTGTCATACCTAGCCGTCGGTGTAAATTTTCAATAGCCCCAGGTTTAATCCCCGGCTTGGACCGTTTGGGTTCGTATACGCAGTCGCTCCCTATACCGGGGTCGAATTAGCGACATTGTACGAAGTGATCCTGTCGTAGAAGACAGAGGAAATATGAATATACTAGCTGACCAGTTTTGCGGCAGTGTTGACATGTGGGTGTCTCCCTAGAGCAGCGCAGTTTGCGGTTGCGACAGTTACTACAGGCAACCGAGAGCTCTGGCAGCTTGCTGCTCCCCTTATCATGGTGGGTATGATTGGTCACAGATGCCGACATTCTGCTAAACGGTTATTCTCGTACCAGCTTTGGGTACGCAAGATCAAATCTGGGGTGCGAAAAATTTGAGGGGATACTTGATCCTTTTGCATTGTGGTTCCCCCGATGCCCGCGTGAGACAGCCCGAGAGCCGAAGAAACCCCGCTCGCCCATTCCTGGGCGAGCGGGGTTTCCCGCCCGCCACCCCATCTATTCGCTCTCAATTACGCCGAGAATAAGAAATTTGGAGAGATTGATTAAATGAGAAACCAAAACCATGACACCCTTACCCCTTGTTCATGGATGAAGGGCACTGCGACATATGGTACTATGTAGATACAGCAGAGCAAGATGCTACTTCCGCATGCCAAGGGCGGAGACCCGCACCTTCCGAGCCAAGTCCCAGAGAAATAGCCTTTTTCGGCCAAGACCAAAACAAGCGGAACTATATATTTCCGGAGTCATCTTCCCCGCTTCCGCTTTCCTTGCCCCGATATTCCCGAAAGCATCTCGCAATTGAAGAGGGAGAATGAGAAGGGTCTTTGGAGCATTAACAATTGTTAGGCCAATGTGACCCCGAAGCCACTTCCTTTGGCAAAATCTTACCACCAATCATGACCACTTTGAAACCATCCCGGTCATGGTCGCTCAACTCACCACGTACTTCATGCCAAGATATAATTTCCTCGTGTCTCTACTGAAACTGCCAAGATTCTTTTTCTCGTCCTCACAGTTCTGTCCAATTGTGTCAGGAGGCATTTAAGAGGCGCTGTCCGCCTCTCCAAATATGATAATGCGTCAGCCTTTACACTCGCCTGATAACACACCATGTCGAAACTTGGCATTGGCATCCTATTTTTGGTTGGGCTTCTTGAATCTCACGTTTCAGCTTCCAACTGCACCTCGTCATCTGTGACTGTCCATTGGCTCGGCGACCAGCCATCGTATCATGCCGGTGTAACCTTTGGTTTGCCATGGCCTCAGGGGAAATATCAACCCGGGAAAACCAGGTTCACCATCGCTGGCAACTCCGAAGATAGACAGCAATTGCAGTCTTGGGCTACCGGCTATTGGGCCGATGGCTCGCTGAAATGGACGGGCCACGCTATCGCAGAATCTAATTCAACCCACGACAACTACACTGTCACTGCAACGTCTGGCTGTACCATTCGTTCTGCCTCGTCTGGGAAATCTGGTACAAAGAACAGCTCCATCATCGTGACCGATAGGTCTGATGTTGTTCGTGTCAACACGGGTGAGATTGCCGTCTCGTTTCCCAAAGAAGGGAACATCCTAGTCAGTGCCATCAAGACCAAGAGCGGCAAGACGGTCGGCGAAAATGGAAGACTTGTCCTTCAGTCTCAGGATTCGGTGCCCGACAGTTTGACAGCCGATCAAACTCGTCCATCCAATATTCCAACTTCCACAGCATCATTGACGAAGTATCTGTGAATCAGAGCTCGAGTCGGACCCTTGTCACTGTTCGTGGAAATCACGAGGTGACTGACGGCCCTGATCACGATCCATGGCTCCGGTTTGTCATTAGATTCTATCTCTATGCCAACTCTGCCTTTGTGAAAGTTATGCATAGCATCGTTTTTGATGGAGAATCCGATAAGGACTTTATTACGGGACTCGGTATTCGATTCGATGTCCCATTAGAAGGCGAGGAGTACTATGATCGACACGTCAGATTTGCTGGCGTAGATGGCGGTATTTTCAATGAGGCTGTTTAGGGAATCACCGGACTTCGAAGAGACCCTGGCGAAGAAGTGAGAACTGCTCAGTATGAAGGTCGCAAGTTGGCAAACACATCAAGTTGGGACAGTCGGGTTACCAACCGGCTCAAATGGATTCCCACATGGACAGACTACAGCCTGACTCAACTGACGGCCGACGGATGCAGCCTCAAAAAACGGACAAAGCCCGGCCAGTCGTGGATCATAATCCCCAGCGGAACACGTGCTGAAGGTCTGGCCTACCTGGGAGGCGCTACGAAAGGAGGCCTCGCCCTTGGTTTACGGGACTTTTGGAAACGTTCTCCGTCTGGCTTTGACATTTCAAACGCTGCCTCCAACACAGGCGAAGTCACTCTTTGGCTATACAGCCCTGCCGCCGATCCGTTGGACCTTCGGCCCTTCCATGACGGCCTGAACGAGGACGGATATGAAGATCAGTTGGATGCTCTCGAGATCACCTACGAGGACTATGAACCCAACTTCAATACCCCCTATGGAATCGCACGAACGAGCGAGATATACTTGTTTGCGTTTGATGAAACACCGACAAGTGACAGACTCGCCTCGCTTTCTACGTACATAAACAATCCTCCCGTGTTGGTACCAGAGTCGAAATGTATCCAGGAAACCCAAGCCCTCGGAGGATACTGGTCCCTCCCCGAAAGCGTTAGCGATGCTGCAAGTACCCTGGAAGATCGACTCGATTTTATCTTTGAATATTACCGGACTCAAATTGAGCAGCGGCGCTGGTATGGCTTCTTGGATTACGGCGATTTCATGCACACATACGACACTGACCGACATACCTGGCGGTACGACGTCGGCGGTTACGCCTGGGACAACTCGGAGCTTTCACCAGACCTCTTCTTCTGGCTCTACTTCCTTCGCACTGGCCACGAAGATGCATACCGGGTTGCCGAGGCCCTTACACGACACACAGGTGAAGTAGATGTGTACCACATCGGTGACTGGAAAGGGCTGGGCACGCGTCACGGTGTGCAACATTGGGGTGATAGCTCCAAACAGGCACGTATCTCTCAACCGCAGTATCGAAAGTACTTTTTCTATCTCTCGGGTGGGGATGAGCGCATTGGGGAGTTGCTGGAGGAGTTGCTTGACACGGATAAGACGTATGGGACGCTCGATCCGAGTAGGAAGGTCCGTACCGATGGCTGGACACCTAGCCCCAATTCGACAGTTGCTTTTAGTCTTGGAACGGACTGGTCGAGTCTCGCTGCAGGGTGGTTGATTGAGTGGGAGCGGCGTGGTCCAAGATGGGAAGAGGCTAGGACAAAGTTGACCAACACAGTCTCGGGAATCGCAAACTTGACCAACGGCTTTGTGACCGGGTCAGGTCTTTACGACCCGGTAACTTGGACGTTAGGACCTCCACCTGCTGACCCGGACAATCTTGGAAACGTGTCTGTCTCTCATTTATCCGCTGTCTTTGGTCTTCCCGAGGTTGTTTCCGAGGCTATCGCATATTTCGCCGATGATATACCAGAAGGGTTCCGCGAAGCGTGGTTGGACTACTGCTACTACTATCATGCCACAGCAGCGGAGCAAAAGGCCCGTTACGGGGTAAGCTTTGGTAGCCAAAGCTTATACCAAGCGCATTCCCGACTGGCAGCATATGCGGCGCATGAGATACATAATACAACTCTTGCACTTCGAGCTTGGAAAGACTTCTATGCAAGCGATGGACTTGCACAGGATGCTGCATGGAACACTACGCATGTGAATGGGAGTGCTGTTTTGGTGTCCGTCGATGAGGCCGCATGGCTCGCAACTAACGATGCCGCGCAGTATGGTTTGGCTGTTATTGAAAATCTGGCATATATTTCGGATTCGCTTGATGACTATCAATCATAAACTCTGCTAGTGTATATACAAGAGCAATAAGACTTTGTACCACACCGATATCAATCAATCAATCAATCAAATCTCAATTAAACTGTTGCAGTCTAACTAGTGTCGTATGACTATGCAGGCGCTTCATCCGACCGAAGCAAGAACAGCTGGAATCATATGATGTTCCAAAAAGAAAACAGAGGCTGGTTTGAAAAGAGTGTGGAAATCAGCCCATAAACCCATTCAAAACCCACCCCGAACCGTAAACAAATGAGATTAATACAAATGAATGCCATGGAGTGCACACTCCATATTTAAATTCCTTATCTTTCTTACTCTCCCATTCTGATTTCTGCATCCTCCCTGCCTCAATTTCAATTGATAGTGTTGTTGTACTGGCCAGTTGGCTGGCGTGGCCGTCGACTCTGGCTGAGTTTCTCGTTTCACAGCATCCTTTGTCGTCATTGGCTAATATCCATCGTCTTTCACACCTAGGTCCATGGCCGCGAGGCCTGTCGGTTCGTCATCTTCCTGAATTCAACACATCGGAATTTCTGGAAGAGACCTCTCTGGTGCATGAATTTAGTCACGATCATCAAAATTCCAGAGCAACATGTGAGAGACCTCATCGCCCAGATAGACATACTCCATAATGGCTGAATGGCATCGGCTTCCTCGGCAAGGATCGAGTCGTTGGCGTTAGTGGTCAGGTCTTGTGTGTTGGTAGTGTACGGTGAAGTCTTCTCGACGGCAGAAATCAGATCCTGGTCGAACAAAAGCTGGCCAACATGCGACGAGTGCGAGGTATACAGGCCAGAGATTGTTCCGCTCGCAAGAATTTCAGTCTCATTGGCCGGATGGGTAAGAACTAGAATCACAGTAAGCGAATGGTCTCAAACGCATTTGAGAATGGAGGGCAGCGGATATGGTAAAAAAGGCCGTGGCCGTGTCATACCATGGATGTGAGTGGCGCGGCTAGTGTAATGACCAGGGAAGGTAGATTGGAAATGAACGACACCATTGGAGTCACTCTCCTGGATACCTCGATGGAAGGTCAAGTTGATGTTGATCTCATCGGAAGAGTCTCCATTACCGCTGGAGACAATTCCCGAATAGACACCCCATGAAAGTCAACGATACGCTCTTGGGGACGATATAAGGAGAGGCCTGAGCGGAATCCTTTACTTACAGTTCATCCTTTCTGCATCGTGGCTCCATCGAAGCCCGTATGAGACAGCCCGAGAGCCGACGAAACCCCGCTCGCCCAGGAATGGGCTCATCCAATCAACCGCCTGCCACCCCATCTGTTCGCTCTCAATTACGCCGAAAATAAGGAATGTAGAGGGGTTGATTAAATGAGAAACCAAACCCTTGACCGCCTTGTTATGGATGAAGGGCACTGAGACATATTGTAGATACAGCAGAGCAAGATGATACTTCCGCATAAATGGAATTTCGTGTCCACAGAGACGTTGGTATGAACGAGTGCGCTTCGGGCTTCGAAAGCGATACCTGGTTTTCATGTCGGCAAACATATTGTCACTGAGAGAACTGGAATGAACATTAACGTTAACCGATATAGGAAGATACATATCCTTAGTACCTACATATCAATGAGCTCGTGGTTCCATGTGTTGACTGAAGCTCCACTTCCCTATTATCCACGGAGCAACTCCCACACATCGATATTTTTATTATAAAGCTTGATTCCCCTTCAATCTTCAACATTCCAACCCTTTTACTATTTGTTCATCATGACAGTTGAGATTGAAGGAGGGGCTTTTAAGCCATATGACCAGTTCATCCTGTTTGGCGACTCCATCACACAGAGGGGTTGCAACCAAGAACTAGGATTCGCCTTTCATGCTGCACTTCAAGAATGTGAGTCCTTATTCGCCCACTAAACTGGTATCTGTACTCATGGAACATCAGCCTACAGTCGGAGATTGGATGTGGTCAATCGTGGCCTAGCGTAAGATACAAACCCCCCCCCCCCTCCCGGCCAGACCAAACCAAGTTAAATAGAACAGTGGATATACGACCGCCCACGCCATCAAAGTCTTTGAGAATTGCATCCCACCGCCACATGTTGCTACCGTGCGCTTGATGGTAGGCCCGTGTCAAATCTCAACCCAAAAAAACCAATCCACTAAGTCGGACAGACCATCTTCTTCGGCGCCAACGATGCATGCGTTTCAGGCCACAACCAGCATGTGCCCGTAGCCCAATACAAAGAGAACCTGAGTTCAATCATCCAGCACCCAGCGACAGTTGCACAGAACCCACGCATCATCCTTATCACTCCTCCTCCCATCAATGAATATCAACTGGAAGAATTTGATGCCGCAAAGGACACCCCGCACCCCAGCCGAACAGCGAGCTCAGCTAGGCTATATGCCGTCACTGCACATGAAGTCGGTTCTACCCTCAATGTTCCAGTCGTGGACTTATGGTCAGCATTTATGAAACTCACAGGCTGGAGAGAGGGACAGCCATTGATTGGCTCTCGTGCTGCTCCGAATAATGAGACATTTGCTGGTCTTTTTACGGATGGTGCGTGCTATTATACTCCGGCAACTTATTTTTCTAATCTTTCTGCTTACTTGTCTTACAGGTCTGCATCTGTCGCCCGCTGGCAACCGGATAGTTTATGATGAGATTATAAAGGTCATTGAAGCCAATTGGCCGGATCAGACCCCGCATATTCTTCCGATGGTGTTCCCCTCATGGGTTGAGGCACCAAAATAGATCAGAGGACTGAATTCGAATGAGTTGAATAGAAAATTATAGATAGCACTGGAGAAAACAAGAAACGAAGTATACAAAACACATAAAAAATAGGCGTTAGTGGACCAAAGCGGTCTGATCGCCCTGTGATGCATATTGCTCTGAATAAGTCACTGGGGCTTCCCTATATTGCGCAAAATCCAGGCGAGAAGGCATTGAGGGTTTTTGATTTCTCTGGTCATTACCGCACGGTTTCTGGCGAGAGAAGTCGGTCGCCTGAAGAACTATACATGTTTACAAAACGAGGTTTGAGTAAGTGGGGAAATGGTTTGGTCGCTAGTATAGTTAAAACGCGAATCGTTTCAGATGATGCTACCGCTCCGCACGAACTTTCGAACTATTCGAAGTTCGCGAATTTCAACGAATCGAATCGAATTCGAACTTTGGATTACGGGCTTCGAATCTATGGGCGATTCGATTCGACAAAATTCGCGAATTTCGAACATGTTCGCGAACTACTATCTAGTATTCAAGTGGGGTTTGCTCATGCTCATGTGGACAGCCATAACCTCAATAATACTGGCCACTGGATCCATTCGATCCGCACATAAAAGGTTGCTTAAGGTATGGTTCATAATGTTTTATTCTACGCTGTAAAAACTATAACTATGTAACTATTTCAGACTTCCAACGTTCAGCATCTTTCAGCCTTAATAAGGTCCCAAGCGTCCTTCCTTTCATGGAGAAACGTCGAATTCCAAGAACATCTCTCCCGTTATTGAATAATCTCTCGATATCCACCTCTGCGGCTGGTATAGCAAGGTGATCTTGTGCTACCTGGGCCATGCAGGTAAATTCAAGCCTGTTAATCTTCCACCAGTTTCGTATGAATTCAGTCTGGCTCTGGCTTATATCGAAACCAGTGCTGATTGTAGGCGTATCGAAATACTGGTCGATATCAGACTCAGCGACGTTATACTGTGTAGGCTGAAAGGCTTCCAGAAATCGATATTCGAAGCTCTTGTTCCTTGTGTTTAGAGCAGTAGACACAGGCTGTTTTGGGGTGGGATATGCTTTCTTTAGGAACGCTCTGATTCGGACAATAATCCTCTCTCCATCTGGCAGCGTTTTGAGCCACTTAGTCTTGATCCGAGGGTCCAGAACACTTGCGATATAGTATATGTCGTTGTCTTTGATGCAGTCGTGGTAGTGCTCCAGAAGTGTGATTCCATCAGAGATAGGAAGAGTCAGAGCTGGAGAGACATTCTGCCAATCGCCTCGGCGTTCCTTAATAGCTAAGAGTATAGAACGCAGCTCTTCAAACATCCGCGCTGCCATATGAATTGAGGGGCTATCCCGAGAGACGTACTCAGTATATTCATTGAACGGAGCCAAGATTTTCTTGATATCTGAGAGCTGTCTCCAGTCGTTAGGTGTGAGACGTAAGGCTTCGATATCTGGCTCATCGTTGACTGTATCTTCGAGCTGCCGGCGACACTCTTCCGCTCTCTCAATCATAACAAATGTAGAGTTCCATCGAGTATCAACATCGTAGTGGATGGTTTTTGTACAGCCTGGTCGGTTATCCCACTTTTGTATTCGCTGCGGAGATCGCGCAATCCAAAGGACAAGTAGCCGAAGCTTTGCAATCGGGGAGCTAGGAACGTTTATTGTCTTCCAGCTCGTCTTAGCAACATCATCAAGGAAGTCACAAGCTTCCCTATGTGAACTTGCGCGTAAAGACCTCAATATTCTTTTCATAATCAAATTTAGGATGTGAGCAAAGCAGCGGATTTGGGAGTTCCGGGTAAATCTCATCGTCCCTTCTCGAATGACAGTATCGGCCAGGTACTCATCGTACCGCTGAGACAGCTTTTGGAAAAGACATCGGTGTAGCGTATCATTGTTAGATGCGTTGTCAGCTGTAATTGTCATAATTTTATCAGATATATGAAATCTCTCAAGTGCCGTCGCAACAATATTAGCAAGATTCTCTCCAGAGTGGCTGCCTGTGATTTCAACAAACTCAATACAAGCTCGATGTTGCTGGAAAGCAGATGACATCCAGTGAGCATTGATTGCTAGCATTGGCAATGAATTCTGGCTTGTCCAGCCATCAAGAGATAGCGCGATTGAGGATGCCGAAGCCATCAAGATTCGAAGTTCACTGTCCAGAGCATCAAGCCGAAGATTTAAACGGCGCGAAACAGTGTCCGCACTTGGTATAGACGCCTCAACGTCTACAGACCTCAACATGGCCTTAAACGAAGGTTGCTCGACACATGTAAACGGCTGACAGGTAGAAATAATCCAATCCAGGATAGTCTCTTCGAATGGGAGCTTCTTTTCCTTGGTAATCCATGAGCTTAACGGCCCTTGGCGCTCTGAATGGCCGTCCGGAAAGAGCTTGTGGGCTTGCTGCAGGTGCTGCTTCAACGCTTTAGTTGAAGATCGTAGTTTCGATGCAAATCGAAAGAATTGACATGTAGATGGTGATACAATACACCGATGTTTAAGCTCAGGCCGCTCCTTATCGCCTAATCTCCACGTACCCGATTCAGGTGTTGTTTGGTAGTATTTCCACACCCAGCTACGCTCTTTCAACCTAGTCCCGTCTCTCTGCTTGATTTCGACACACTCAGTCTCGCATTCAACCTGAGATATTGATTGTGAAGGGCATATATCCGTATCAAGATTCGACAAGCTGATAGAAACGTTGCTGGGAGCGGTAGGAGAGGTTGAAACCGGAGTAGCTGGTGAGTTAAGGGCGGGTCGGACCGCCGTCTTTTTTCGAGGTCGTGGAAGTGGGATATCCTCTGCAAGGAGGCCATATTTATGAAGCGCTGCATAATCGCGTTTATTCTTCCTGGTGTTAGGACAGTCGAATGTGGTTGCAGGTAGAGATGTCATCTGTATGGTTATATTAGTATCTCATACTTGTGTCCTAATTGATCGCTTACTTTGGAGCACCAAAAGAGATGGTATTCAGTAGCTTTTGACCAAGATTTGGATGTTGCTCTTGGTAAAAGCACGTCCACGCGGAGACGCGCTCTTGTAGAATCTCCGCTAGCCCGATTAGACCATCCATTTACTTTACATCGTATATAACATGCAATTGCTGGTGTTTTGACTCCATATCAATAGACTACGTGTATCTTAATACAGTCTATGAGCTGATAGACTTTGGAACAAAACAGACCACGGATACGATTACGGACTTGTTGGGCAATCTTGGGAGTGGAATTATATATTTTGGATAGAGGGTTGGGGCAAGAATTTGTATATACTGATACTACTCTATATCCTGTTCAACCCAAAGCCAAATTGCTCAATTTTATGACATATTAAATAGCGCTATCTCCGAGGTTGTCAATTAACTAATTATTAAAGCAACTACTGTATGTGATGTCGATTGCTCACCATCGTGTAGAACAACAGACATAGTACGATATAGTCGGACGTGACTTACCGCTTTCCAAATAAGGGTTTAGTACAAAAAGTTCGCGAACTTCGAATCGAATTCGAATCCGTCTTCAATTCGAATCCGTACGAACCGTTATTATCGATATCAATTCGAATCGAATCGAATCTGGCAAAAGTTCGATTCGATTCGATTCGTGCGGAGCGGTATGGCATATTGCCATCGACTGGCATCTCTGGAAGCTCATCATCCTCTTCAATAGCTTCGTATGGTCGTTTTTGGGGCTGCTTTCCTTTTGTCCGTCTACGACGATGAGCAGTATCATTATCCGATTCATTATCACCACTCTCGATCTGCTGGGTAGGCTCTAGCCCTGGCTCTTGATCCTCCTCTTCATTATCACTGATAGGCTCTTAGACTTCAGGCTGCGGTAGATAGGGTTCCGAAAGGAATAAAGGAATGCGAATATACAACATATTCATATTCGCACTCCGCGAATATGAATATATGAATTTTTTATTCGCGCGAATAAACGTGTTGAGTATCGCGGTGGTCAAAGCTTATGGCGGGACTAGCGATGGACATTTAAATAGATGGGATTCCCACTTTTGATAGTAACCTCAAGAAGAATATTACAACTACCTATCTCAACAGGTTATGAGCCCGGGTGGCTTTATCTTTGGGCACTCAAGGATCTAAACAGAAAAATGTCTCCATTTTTCTGCCTGCCATTACAGCTAAGCTTCTCTATCAAAAACTGAGTCCATGAAGTTCTGAAACTGATCATATATTTTCAGTACCTTGATGAAAATTACGAAGTTCTACTACTCAACTACTCTTGGAGCACTAACACAGTTGGACTTTCTCCGGCAAAGAATCACAGAAAATCTCTCATCATTGCTACTGTTACAGTCTCGCCGACATAGGGTACTGCAAGGTTACCCTCGTAGCGGAGACAAGTCACCGTTTGCAGCGAAGTTTCAATGGCGTCTCTGCTGAAAGGATCATAGACATTGCGCCATTATTGCTACGGTTACGCTATCGCACTGGCATGGGGTACTGTGGAGTCGTGTCTACAACTAGGACGTGTCACCATTTGAATCAAGCTCAAGAATCACCTTCGCGAGTTTACCAGCCCGAGGGCTATTTCGATTCTGCGATACCATGCGGGGGAAGGTACAAAAAAGACATTCTTGGACGGACGAGGAGCTGAACATCCTCTCGTACCTTCGATACACTTGCCACTGGGGCTTCAAACAAATCCAAGCGTCATACTTCCCAACACTTTCTTCCAGCGCACTCCGAGGAGCCTACTGGAACCTGTCTATTGAGGACCGCAATCGCCGAGCATCGAGGACCATTATCCCAGTTGCACCTTGCAGCTGTGTGGAAGGCTTCCCAATGGCCGTCGAAACGCAACCCGCGTCATTCAGTATCGAGCAGGGGACAAGTCGCTCTAACTGCCCCGCCTCTGGCACTCTCACTCGGTCAGAAAATAACCTTGAGACTTTGGCATTGACCCCACCAAGCCCTGCGGGTGGATGCGAGCAATTTATTTCCAATAACAGCGTTTCGAGTCGTTACGAACTTCGGCCGAACAGACCCTCAACTTTCCCTCTAAGGAAGCCGCAATATCTAGTTGACCGACGCCATTTCCCACACTTCTTCAGATCGTATAAGTACTCTCTCGATCTACAAGGGCTCTCAGACAACGATTATATTCCTCCATCTCGAACGCCTACGCCAAGTTCATCAGATCGAAGCGTTTCCATCGTCTCAAGTCTTCCCAGTGCTGCGTCAAGCTTTGAACTCTTCGGCTTGGAGGCGCGCTCTCTTCAGTCATCAGACCGTGAATCAGCTTCCGCTGATCGGCCCAACGACGTATCTAGCTATGAATTTCTCAGCTCTGAGGAGCATCCATTGCCAACATGACTGAAATCACCAAATTCGAGCAATTTGGAATCAATACGTTTTATACTGGAATCCCGATACTGGATAATGCGAGCAACTGGTTTAGGTGGAATCAGAAGGTCAATGAGTTCATTCGGATATCTGCGGTTGCCGACGATGGAGCGACTCCACCAATAGAAGAAGAAGAAGCACGGCAATGGATTCGCCGCCAAAAGTTCTATTCTGCGATGATCACGGCAAAGCTGACACACAATGCGGCGCAAAGGATCAATGCCTTTGAGATTCCTCGAGTTCAAGTACTGCTTAAGGCAGTCCAGGACAACTTCAAACCAGAAGGCTCCGGCACGTATGTTAACCTCCAACGGCGATACATGGCCCTTACAAGAGACAAGTGTGGGAGCACTCAAGCCCTCGGGGCAGAGATCAGGAAGATCCATGCTGAAAAACTCCTCCTTGACCCTGATTGCGTAACCTCCGAAATTGAGCGAACATTTTTCTTCGTGCATGCACTCGGTCCTGAGTATGAGAGCTTCCGCGATCATATCTTCCGACAAATGGACCTTGTCAACGAAAGGGACGCAAATGGGAACGTCACTAAAGCGGCGCCCACATTCGACTATATCGAGAATAAGGCAATTGAGGAAGAGCATCGGAAGGGGCAATTGGGCAGACAAACAACGGAGACGCAAGCACTTCCTGCTCTTGCCTTAGTCCGTGGGCCAGGTGACAAGAAGCTCATCCCGTCGTCGGACGGAACTACTTGTCGAATCGAGATCGATAATGTCCCATATTGCTCCTTCTGCCGAAAACCTTATCACGTTGACTCCGAATGCTTCACCAAGAATCCGAAACTGAAGGTCCACAAGAAAGACGGAGACGGACCGAAGCCAAAGCCAGGCAGAATGCACACGGGCGCACGCAAACAGTCGAAGAGGCGGCCCTCGACGGATGACGAGGATGACGATGCGGGTGGCCCAAAGGATCCGAAGAAACCAACGTTCATGGCGATGAAGGTCTCCGAGAAAGATGTCAACGAAGCATTTGGAAACGATATCGAAGGCAATTTCGCCCGGCTCGACCATATTCCCATAATGATGGCGATAAAGACCCTCTCTATCCGCGACGCGTGGATCGTGGATAGTGGATGCGCTCAGCACGTCTGCAATAGTGCCTCGAGGTTTGTCCAAATGGCCAAATATCATGGCCCCCCACTAAGAGGCGTTGGCACCTCAACGGCTCCCTCGGGAGTGGGAACAGTGAATATCCTGTGCAATGTACGCGGCAGAAAGAAATGGCTTGTGCTTAATAACGTCCTCTATGTTCCATCTGCACACGCCAATCTCATATCGGTACTCCAGCTTCTCAAACGAGGGGCAAAATTCGAATTCTCAAGCAGGGATGCTATCATTCGCAACAAGTCAAATGGAAAGAATCTGTTTACTGCCAGTGAATATCATGGAGTCTACGCACTCGATCTGTGGGCAAGTCTGACTTTCCCCTATTACCATGTTAGCCCACAAATGACGCTGTGGCACAACCGGCTTGCTCATCTGGGTGATGCAAATATTCGGCGACTCAAACAGCAGGCTCACGGTGTCCGGGACATGGAGCAACGTCATCCATGCAATCCCTGTCTGCAGGGGCGAATGATCGAAACCCCCCCACCGCAGATCAGGAAGTAGCAGGAGAGGAGAATATGCAGTGGAGCTCCTCCATGTTGACGTCGCTGGGCCATTTGACGAGGGCCTTGACGGCAGTTGTTACTGGCTCACCATTGTTGACGACTTCACGAGCTGGATCGAGATTATCCCTATACCGCGAAGACAACACTTCGTCATAGAATCACTTCGGTTCTTCCTCGACCACAACGAGCGCCCCGAGCGAAAATGCAGACGAATACGTCTCGACCGAATATCTGAACAAGTGGGCGACGAGATGAAGTTTATGTTGTTCTCGCGTGCAATCCAAGCGGAGGTGACAGGAGTGGATCAACATCAGCAGAATGGGGTTGCCGAAAGAGCCCATAAGACAATTTATGATCGGGTTGGGCCTACCCTAGCACATGCGAGGTTGCCGTCTAAATTCTGGCCGGAAATCGCTCGAACCGCAGCTTTCCTCTCCAACCGATCACCGTCATCGAAGCTCAACATGACTCCGTATCAAGCGTGGTATGGCGACAAACCTGATTTATCACGACTTAGAGTGATCGGATCCAAAGGGGAATACTTGATCCCGCCAAAGCAAAGAAAGAAGCTTACGGATCCGCGAACAAGGCCATGCATTCTGCTAGGCTATGAAGGAAATACCAACTACCGCATCCTTCTGGGAGACGGAAGAATCGTTGGGACTCCAAACGCTGAATTTCACGAAGTCCTGACAGCTCCCTCCACACAGACTATAGAAGATGTGGGAGCCAGACGAGACGGCTTACCTGAGGCAACGGCTGCTGCCGCAGGGGGGAGCGAGATGGTGGGACTAATAAATCAACCGTCGGTAGGTATACGGCAAGCATCCGTGCCTGCTTCGGGGCACCGATTGTCGATGGATCCCCCGGAGCGGCCCCTACCTAAGCCGAGAAACGATATCTCGCACATACTGCCTCAGAGTGACGATAACTCGCGAGTGCTTACCCAGCCGAGTGACGATGACTCGCAAACTCAAGCGTCGTCCCAATCGAGTGACGATGACTCGCAGCCAGCTGTTGCTGTACAGGGAGACAGGACCTTGTCGTCCACACGGAGCGACGATACCCTCGGACCTCTATCACCTGCTTATCAGGATTCTGTCCTTGAGATTGACTCACCACCCGGTGGCGGCCAGCAACAAGACGACGCTCAACAAAGGCTCAGTTTAGGAGAATGGCAACGATATCCAGATCTCCAACTTGACAGCTCAGTTCATGAAGTGCAGCAAGGAGCACTAGATCATCACCCTGAACTAAAGATTCGCGGTCCACAAGTCACACTAGACACGTCTGATGAGAGCGAAGAAGAGCTTGCATTAATGAATATACCCGAAGAGAACGTCATCTCAACATTCTTGACGGTAGCTGCAGAGGAAACAGAACCCTTTGAGCCAAAGAGCCTGCATCATGCGAAAAACGACACAAGCTGGCTCGAATGGGAAAGAGCAATGCTCGAAGAAGTGGAATCACTCAAGCAAAACAAAACATGGGAGCTTGTTGATCCCCCCAAAGACCGGCGAGTTCTCAGTGGAAAATGGGTGTTCAAACTCAAACGAGGATCTCATGGCGAAGTACTCCGCCATAAGAGCAGGTGGGTGGTGAGAGGCTTCACACAACAAGAAGGTATTGACTATGATGAAACCTTTGCCTCGGTTGTAAAGCCAATGAGCTACAAGGCCCTCTTCGCAATCGGAGCGGCCCTGGACCTGGAGATCGAGCAAATGGACGTCAAAACCGCATTCTTGTACGGACACATAGACCACGAGATCTACGTCGAACAGCCCCATCACATGACGGACGGTACCTCAAGGGTCTGCAAGCTTCGAAAGGCCCTCTATGGGTTAAAGCAGGCTCCTCGCATCTGGTATCAGACCCTCACGAACTTCCTACGCAATCTTGGCTTCGAGCCAATCACCGCCGATTTTGGTATCTTCGTTCGGAGCAATATGTACATCGCGGTGTATGTTGATGATCTCCTGATCGTCGGTCCGAGTATCGCAGAGATCAAGAAGATCAAGCGGAGCCTAAGGAACCGTTTTCAGATGACAGACCTGGGCCCATGCAGCTACTACCTTGGGATATCCATCCAGCGAGACCGCCAAAACAGGAAACTGTCCCTAAGTCAAGAAGCATACATTGACAAGGTTGCTCATCAGTTTGATATTGGCAACTGCGCTCCCATCGGTACGCCGATAGAAACCTCACCGCTTCCAGAGAACAGTCCAGACTATACGTGCCCTCCAGATCAGAGGACCTCTTACCAACGCATGGTCGGATCTCTGATGTACATTATGCTTGGAACCAGGGGGGGACATCGCGCACGCAGTCTCTGTGGCGAGTAGATCTCTGGCAAATCCTGGGCCCCAGCACATGAAACTCGCTCAACGTATCCTGCGGTACCTCAAAGGAACAAAGAGCCTCAGACTCGCGTACAAAGGTCAGCCTCAGAAACTGAAAGGCTTCACAGATGCAGATTGGGGAGGATGTCGTGACACGAGACGGTCAACAGCTGGGTATCTCTTCAATATTGGAAGTGGGGCCATCAGTTGGCAATCGAAACGTCAGGGCGTCGTTGCCCTCTCAACCTGCGAAGCCGAATTTCTAGGCAGACACAAGCCACCAAAGAAGCAGTCTGGTTGAGAAGGCTTCTCAACGAATTGAATATGAACCAAGGCATGAACGCCACGATCATCTGCGGGGATAACCAAGGAGCCATTGCGCTCTCCTCGAACCCACAATACCACTCCCGCACAAAACATATGGAGATCCAACGCAAGTGGCAGGGAGAGGTCCAAGACAACGGAACAGTCAAACTCAAGTATATCCCCACCACAGAACAAATTGCTGATGGGTTCACCAAACCCCTTGCTCGGGAAAGATTTGAGTGGTTTCGGAGAGGGCTTGGCATCGAGTGATTGCTACACCTTATTTGTATTGAACAAGACTAAGGCGCAGGGCGTCCTTTCCTCCCTTTCTTCACAAATGAAGTTTTTGGAGGTTTTAATGGAACCCGTCGCAACCGCGATTATATGGTCGCTGACACCATTGGTAATGGGTTGCCATCGAGTGGGAGTGTTAAGTATCGCGGTGGTCAAAGCTTATGATGGGACTAGCGATGGACGTTTAAATAGATGGGGTTCCCACTTTTGATAGTAACCTCAACAAGAACATTACAACTACCTATCTCAACAAGAGGGCTTATTCATATTCATATTATTCAATTCATATTATTCATATTCGCAAATATTCATGACTATTCATGAATAATCATATTCCTTTCGGATCCCTAGCGGTAGAGATCTCCGGGCTTGGTCTAATAAAGCAGCTTCACCCCGAGACAGATGCTCTTTGATAATTCCTAGCTCCTCTTGCTGAAGATCAAAGATGGTAGCAAACTGATGAAGCATCAGACCGCGGATTTCGCAGATCAGGATCGAATCTGATCAATTCCCATCAATCTGTGTACATGATAAAACCGCAGTGAAGATCCGGATCCGCCCTATTTTGAGTCCTACTCACGCAGAACCCTCGGATCAAGGGACTCAAGAGGTGGCCATAAGGTACAAAGACACCAATAAACAAGAAAGGAGCCCAGGGTATTGACAAACCAGTTTATCTGATACAGGTAGGCTAGTCCGCTAGGAATGAGAACGCTCGGGTTAACGTTGTTGATGACTCCTGGCAAATTGATTCCGACGAAACTGAACTCAGTCACAAACGAACGCCAATTTATACCAGCTCTATACCGGTAGCAGCCGCGAGGGTGGTATAGGTCAGACAAGTTCAACTTTCTTCGTCGGATGAGGAAATAGTCCGCGATCATTATGCTGCAAATGGGGCTAATGCACACCCCATAGGCCGACATGAAACTTAAAAACTTGTCAGCACTGTTGACAATTAACCATGGCACCATACCCCATGCACCAAGGAGCAAACAGAGAAGGGAACCGCGTCTGACAGTCATCCACGCCGGTACAAATGACATAACATCATGACCAAAGGGGATAGAATTTGCAGAAATGTCACAAGATATTTGAGCAAGCATCCAGAGAATAGCACAGACGAAGGCAAGGAAGCGACCGCCTCCCGTGTTGCCCCAGTACGGAAGCATATCGACTGGACTGGATATGTCTGTCTCGTAAAGTACCCGCCCAGAACCAACGACAGCTAGACCGAGAACAGCATAAATGGTCTTGATAACGGGGATAGCTAATGCTTGGGACCATTGTCCACGGCTCCTAGGTCGTATTAGTAGCATGCTCTGAGCTAACTAAGAGCCACCATATTAACATACCCTGTCTTGGCGAACCGTGAATAATCCGACATATTCATTGTACTGGTGAGCCAGGAATTGGTGGTTGATGAGAAAGTGGCAAGCCAAAGCCAAATGTGCGCTCGTCCTGATACTTTTGCTGGTTGGTTGAAAATTCCTTGGAGGTCACCAGCTTTGACGCAGATCCAGACAACCATCGCGATAGAGACCTGTTTAGAGTCAGTCTCTGGAAAAAAGAGGTCCTTTGAAAGACTATTTACTGGAATAATAAGTATGGTTTTTACCAGAAACAGTCGTCTTCTAGGATGTTAACGTCATCGAAAACAGTGGCAGAAAGAAGATATGTCATACTTGAGTCGTCGAACTGGAATCATCATAAATGGAATGTGTAAGCCGGCAAATAGAAAAAATGAAATCATTTGCTGTGTTGATATTCCGGCTGATTTGGGGAGATGATTGGTTATGTTTCGATAGCTGGGCCATATTGCAGCAACTGCCTGCGTTTCAAAGTTAGTTACCTAAAAGGTGATGCAGAAAGAAACAACTCGCCTCGGTCATGCCAAAAAGTCCGTAATAACAATTTACACCTAGCCAAACGGCCGAGAGAACGGCGCGAGAGAAGACCGCGAAATTTCCGAAGTAATACCCAAAGCTTGACCGAATGGCTATAGGGAAGGGAATATGATAATCAGATCCGATATATCCATTCAAAACCGTCGGCAGACCGTTGCAAATTCCCAAAAGCAAGACGATGAAAATTGCATCCACAGTACTCAGCCCCACGAGAAGAGGGGTAGTTCCAATAGTCCAGCTGGTGATGTTAACAAGGTCTGAAAACCAATAGTTCACGAAATCAAGGCCCTTCCAGGTCTGTAGCTTGGGGCCAATTGGATCGGAATCTGGGCTACTTTATTAGATTTCTATCTCTAATTTATCAAAGCGAGAAAGGATTTCTTACCTTTGTTGCTCGGCACTCCCGCAGGAGCTAGGCTGCTAGGTTCTTTCGGGATTTTCCATGCTTGAATAGAAGAAAGTCGAGCTTCTACTTCAGCGATATGCAATTTAATCAGTGTTTTCATCTTAGGTAGCGAGGTCATTATTCAAAATGTTTTCTTGCGCTCCTTTCCTTCTCTGTATCAGGACCGACTATCATGGTCCTCTAGAAACTTTTATACCGCATCAAAACTAAACTCCCAATCAAATCATGAATACATGGATATTGCTATAGGAGATCTCCGGAGTCACCCTCTATCTCTGTTAGATACCAGGTACGAAGATTGTGCACAGTTTAGCCCAGTGATATCGTACAGAGGGGATGTGTATAGGGTCGACGTTAAACAAAGTTCATGAACTCCACGAAACCATTATCACATATCTCGGCCGCGGGTAAAATGGAAATGCGGGGTGGATCTTCTGATAAGGGGTTATCATGGCAGCGGAGCGATACTTTCAAGAGGTGTAAACTTGAATGGCCGACAATTATATCCCACAAAGATATAAGCTTAGTACCAGTCTTGTTTTTTGGACTTCAAGTAGCAGACCGCATCTAACACCACGAATTACCTTTCTTTCTCTTGTCTACAGTATCAGGTTACACGTGATTTTCTTCCCAGAATGAAGTTTCCTATCATCTCCCTGAAAGACTTTTCGTCTGAATTTGACAAGATCTCCAAGGAAATCTTCAAGGCCAGCCAGGAATGGGGCTTTTTCATTTTGAAAGACCATGGAATCGATGGAATCAATCAGATGTTTGACCGGGTAATGAAGTACATCACGACAAGTCTTGATCACAGAAACTAATATCAGATATACCAGGCGCGTGAATTTTTCGAGTTGCCAATGGACATCAAGTCCGAGAAGATACTGAATGAAGACCCAGTTGGATATGATGGACATCAAAGTACTACGTAAGAGTTGCCACAGCGACGGTCAAAAGACGGTGAGAAGTTTACTGATGAAGTTCAACACAAAGTTTTGCTGCTTCAGAGGGAATGTCTTTTGGGCTTCCCGCGGGACAGTTGTCCAAAAGTAATAACATTCATTCCTGGTGGAATGAGGATAGGATCAGCGAAGTTGAAACCTTCAAGGCTCAGTGCAATGAGCTGAACCTCAAGATCATGTCTTGCTTCGCCGTCAACATGGGTCTTCCGAAAGAATTCTTTGTGGCTTCGCACAGACAAGAATTGCCAGGGAACACGCTTAAGCTTATCAAATACCCAAAAATGGATGAACAGCCAGGAGAGTCAATTCCTCGACTATCCGAGCACACAGACTGGGGAAGTGTGACCATCTTATTCACAGAGTCGCCGGGTCTAGAAGTTCGCGACCCTAGCAATCAATGGCATGAAGTTCCCGTCATCCCTGGCGCAGTTACCGTCAATATTGGTGACGCTCTTTCTCTATGGACTGGAAAGCAGCTCAAATCCACCATGCACCGCATTTCTTGGGATAAAGTACCGAGATCCCAGGATCGCTATAGTATTCCCTATTTTGTGCACCCAAATTTCGGTACGCTTTCTGCCATGTTACTTTATTTTCCTTGTTTCTTCAATCACTTGATCCTAATCGTTACAGATACCAATCTCCAACTTAATACGCTGCCAGATGAGTCCGATGACCAGCAACTTACGTACAGCGATTACTACAAAGTCCGTCTTCGATTAACTTGGGGCAGCCTGGAAGAGATGGATGGTATCAAAAGATTTGGCGACGTCGACGACAAGACATTAATGCGTTTGAGGACGTTGGGTGTGGCAAACGCGGGTATTTTGGAGTCGCACAGTGTAAATCTATGACCGTCTAGCCATTTGCGATACGACCTTTCCGCGGGTCAATTGTCGCGGAAAGCGAAGGCTGGTATGGCCGTGGACTGTTTGCTTAGCACATGCCTAGTCCCCACAAGCTACATGGGCCGCCTGTTCGCGCAATTCCCAATCAAATTACAATAGTCGTTTCTTTGGAGAGATTCTCAGTCACAAACAGTACATGTGAAATCATCAAATACCTGGAGCATTAAAATTCAAGGGAACTGATCAAGCGCTGGTAATTCGTCAACGTCCTATATTTCCTTAATCCATTTGTTCGTCTTTAAGTCGTAAGGTTCTAAAATTCTATTATATTTCTTATATTCAGATCCAAAAATTCAGGTTGTAATGGATATCTTGAAGGATATTTGGAGACTTCAAAATCAGCTATCGTATTCGAAGCACGGCTCGCTAGGGAAGGCCCATAACATCTTCGGAATAGCCTGTGGTAAGCTGGGAAACGATAGACGGAACTCGGGGAACTCGGCCGCGGAGTAGACGAGGAATATCTCAAGGTTTCATTCCGATAGCGGATAGTGATTGGACGTGATGTGAGGAGCGAAACTCGGCCGAGGGCCATGCTGAGATCCCGTGGACCACTTACATCATTGTTTCAGTCGTTTTGATTGACGGTTTCCAGAGCACAGTTCCTATAAATGGCCCTAAAATCACCGACTCCGAGATTTGTGAGCTTGGAAGTTTCCTATACAACACAACATTTAACCATTTAGCCTTATCGCAAATATGCCAACCGAACAGGCTCCACCAATCATTGACTTTTCGCGTACGTCTACTTTTCTCATTATCATTAGACACTTTGAAGTTGAAACCCTGGGTCTCTGCGATCATTTAATTGATTTTTATCCTTGAAGCTTTCTACGAGGAAGATCAGTCCGCGAGACGGGGACTTATCAATCAAGTTCGCTCTGCATGTGAAAGCTTCGGCTTCTTTCAGATTGTCAACCATGGCGTTCCCGAGTCCCTTCGTCAGGATATCTTAAAGCAATCGGTCGATTTTTTTAAACTCTCTCTGGAGATAAAGGAGAAGTATAACAAGGGTGATTCACTCCGTCAGGTTCATATTTGCAGAGTTCTTAAATGACATGGCGAATCGCTAGATATTGGCGGATTCAACCGTGGTTACGAGCGCCTGCGAGCACAGAACTTCGAGAAAAAAACGGAGGGTGACTTGAAAGAGGGTTATTACTTTGGCACCGATCTTCCTCTCGATCACCCTTACGTTGTTGGACGTAAAATCAATCTAGGACCCAACAAATACCCCGAAGATGTATCCGACCCAACGGCATTCAAGGTGATTGTCGATAGCTATTTCAAAAGTGTGGAGAAGCTGGCACATGATATATTGAGAATTTTGGCTTCTACATTGAACTTGGATGAGGATTTCTTCCAAGACTACGTCGACACACCCATCGCTATATTGCGTCTACTGCATTATCCTCCCCAGCCGGCTAATGCATCTTCTGATGAGAGAGGTATGAGAGCCGTGGACGTCGTGGAAAATAAGAAGTCTCTAACGATGGGTGGAATTAGGAATTGGGGCTCACACTGACTTTGGTGGCATCACCATTCTTCTACAAGACATGATCGGTGGCCTCCAAGTGTGGAACAAAGACCACTCGACTTGGGTTGATGTGAAGCCTCTGGAGGGCGCCTTCGTCGTCAACCTTGGCAACATGATGATGCGCTGGACGAATGATCATTACTTGTCCAATCTACACCGTGTGATCAACAAGACGGGGAAAGAACGTTACTCTGTCCCCTTCTTTTTCTCTGGTAACCCAGAATATGTTGTGAAATGTCTGCCAAGCTGCGAGGAAGCCAGCGGCGGCGCAAAGTACCCCCCCTATCTCGGTCGAGGAGTGGATTACAGGACGATACGCGGATACTTACGGTACGAAGGATAATACCAAGGCAATGAAGGATTTGTCAGTCGAAGCAGAGAAGGCCTATGCATGATTGTACACCATGACAAATGAAAAGAAAAGGAACGGAAAATAAATAAAAGAGAAATTTATTAAAATTTGCTCCCAAACTTGTTTCCATCTTAGTTCATCTAAATCTAAGGCTACCAATTCTACCGCCAGACAGCCAATCGTACTTTACTAACTTACGTTAGATAACGTAATCCATGGGCGAGTGGACTACGTAAAACACCATATCGAAGACGATATTTTGTAGTCTTACATATCACCCACCATGACTTGATTCTATGCGAGTGGGGGGGTCCGAGCCAGGCCTCAACCTACTTCATACTGTCATCCTAAGATTCGATCAAATTTTTTTCGTAGGGAGGCTACAGTACTAGCAAGTACTAGCACCGTGGATTATCTGGTCGTACCAAGACTAACTCACCCGCGGGACTTGGGTTTGCTGTGATAAGAGATAAGATATCGGGTGATAAGATATCGGGTGTTGGCCTCCGCGGCCGCGGGAATATTTGAATGCGACGGCCATCAACAATTTTCGCTCGTCTTCTCCCTATCCACTTCTCATCGCCATGGAGACTTTTGAGCACGTCATTCCTACATCAACGCGGCGTGTCACCCAGAGACGACCGCGAGCATGCACCGAATGTGCCCGCCGCAAGCTGCGTTGCTCTAAGGTGATCCCATGTGGTGCTTGTATGGATCGAGGCATAAGCCATTTATGCCGGCGGGAAAAGGTTTGGCTCCGCAATAGAAAGGCTGATGATCAAAATACAATGGTGCGATCAAATGGAGATAACACCTCGGACGATTTGGAGCAAAGAGTAGATCAGGTCCACCATATCTCCCAATCCCTTTCTCCTTCTCCCTCTCGTCAACCTAGTCCATCAACACAAGAGGGTATAGGAATGCCCTTTATGGATACCGCTAGCCCATATGTGCGTTCGAGTCCTATCACGCCCGGCTCTGACAATGACCGACTAACTGTCAACCCAACCGCCGCGTGTAGAGAAACACTCAGCAAACACGGGAGTAGCTCCGAGCCAGGGATTTTCCCCTGCTTATCGACAACTTCACAAAGTGGGCTGATGAAAGGAGTTGCACAGAATACTGCAGTCACCCTCGAGTTTCTTGCTCTCGGTAGACAGCATGCCATGAGACTTGGGCATGATTTAGCCCCAGAATCGCGGGCTTCGTTACCAAGCAATTCCATAAGTATCGCCGATCCAATCGTCACACCAGCTCAGGCCGTGTGGCTGGTGGAATACCATGAGAAAAACATTTCTTGGATGCACAATTTACTTCACATGGTTACCTTTCGTGAACAATGTGATGTCTTTTTGGAGTCGGGGGCTCCAATCAGCCCACTCTGGCTATCTCTCTATTATTCCGTGCTTTCTGTGAGCTTGCAATATTTTTTCACCTACTCTTGGTTTTAATTCTTATAAATCCGGGGTAGTGCACCGTATACCTTACTGCGCCGGACTTGTTGCAACAGTGTGGAATTGTTCATCAACGTAAGGACATTCAAGCTCGTATCAATAAGATTTTCACCTGAACTTTCTAACCGTGAGTCAGAAACACTTGCATTGCACCTACATGAAAAGAGCATTGAATGCCTACATGCCTCCAATTTCATGGTCAACCATTCGATTTTCTCCGTGCAAGCCATCTGCATGCTCATCCACTGCGGACACAACTATGGCGAGTCAGACTTGATTTCGACTTTGATGGGTAGCGCCATTCGCATCGCACAGTCACTCGGGATTCACCGCCTAGGATCAGATCAAACAGCAAATACGATTCAATCAGCGGAACTAGGAAACGTGAAGAGACAGCTGATTGATCGCGAAGTAAGCAAGAGGGTATGGTGGTTCCTCATTCGCCAGGATTGGCTTCAGATACCATTTATAAACACCTACACTATCCATGCAACACAATTCAATACGCCCAAACCAAAGAATTGTGTGGATTCACGAATAGAAATTGGCAAAGATGGCATTGTGGAATGCAGAATCGATACATATACTCAGGGCAGCTACACAGCGGTGCTGAACGAAAGTGAGATATCTATTAACAGCGAACCTTGCGAACTATGTATCTAACAGGATCTTTTCTAGTTTCTGTTCTGCTCTGGAGAACTCAAGATCGGTTGTGTCTCTTTGGACATCCTGATCGGGTACCTGATGGCGAGCGCAGGCTCTACGAAGAAATCATCACAGCCGACACTGAGCTAAGGAAGATCATCAACCGCATGCCTATTTTCTTCCGCGAACAAAGAATTCAAGATAAGACCCTCCCTGTACATGTTCTGCAACAAAGGGAGGTAACACAGCTTTCATTATCGCACAAAGTATGTATCCCTAGCTCCGCATATTTTGAAAGGACGCCAGATTATTCGATGCTTACAATGATGTTAGTTCCTGAGCATCCACCGCCATTTTCAGATATCCTGTTTTCAATACCCCTGGTTTTCGTACACGAGGGTGTGTATCTTGAACAAACCACCGAATTTCTCATCCTATCAAGCAGCATAGCTAACATCATGAAAAGCTTTCCTGCCTCCCGATAGCTCGAAAAAGCCTTCAGTCTATACTTGCTCTTCCTGAGAACGAATACACCTGGACGGCCCGCAATATGTGGACAGTAAACACGCATATCATAACGGCAGTTATTGCGCTTTTGTTTGAACAACTCTTCGCGTCTTCCTCCGGACTCAGTTTGTTCGAGATTGACGAAATCCAAAACTTGGCCCAGAGGCTGTTGCAGTTGCTACGGGACACGAGTACAACAAGTCAAATTTCAAGGAAAGGCGTCCGTATAATCGAGTGTTTATTGGAACTAAGAGAAACTATATCATCTGGGAATTGCGGTGATTTTGACCTAGAGCAGATCATTTCTTACGTGAAGCTTGATGTGTTGCAACATATGCAGATACCTTCTCAGACAGGTGTGCATGGGACAGTGTTTGGTGATGTTAATTGGTAGAAAAGTATATCTCCTTCTCGATTCCACATACGAATCATGGCCACCTTCACGTCGGATCGGGAATAGAAATCAAAATTGTGCAAGAGATTGAACATCGAAAGAAATTTAGCCAACAAGGAGATAGCATTTAATACCTTGTTACTGCTTGGCCTGAACCACATGATCACACCTTGGACATAAATTTTGAAATCGACTCAGTATTGGCAGTAGTCCTGGCAGTCCCAGTCAAGTATACATACTAATTATTCCATTGAACTTCGATACACACTAGATATCAGCCTGTGCAGCTAGTGGATCCTTGTGGATCACTGAACAGGAGCCTGCTCGATAAAATGGGTTCATGGACGGCCATGAAAAAAGAAACAGGTCACTATGCTTCATGACACCTACACCACTCGGAGACTAACTGATTGATTGATTGATCATGGGTACATTATGATGATAAGTTCTCATCCGGATTCTATGTTTCTTTAATCGCTATCAACTGCCCACACTTGCTAATAATTGACCCACTCCACGAATCTCGGCCGAGATTACCCGCTATCAAATGTCTTTCCCCTAGCGGGAACAGCTGCATTACTTTCGAAAATTTTAAAATGAAAAAGGGAATGAATTCCCTCCGTGGATATAAATACATATTCCCTACGAAAACCCAGCTTGATTTGTCTTGGATACATGTTCAAAAGATATATGCCCTCTATCTCAATTCAAACCCCAAAACTTCACCAGACGCAATGAGCGATGAAACAGCTAAAATCTCGGGGGAGGTGCTCAGGAAAAACCAAAGAACGTCTATGATCATTTCCGTCACTGGCTTTGATGTTTTCGTCGAAATTGACGGTGATGGCCCTTATATGATCATGACGCACGGACTGGGAGCCAATACAAATGTCTTCTATCCGCTTATGGAGATATTTAACAAGACTCACACCGTTGTACGAATCGATTGGCCGGGTCATGGACATAGCGGTCTGAACCATGTGGCGGAGAAAGTGACAATGTCGGTCCTTGTGGCGATACTCCAGGGCGTGATGGACCATCTCACCATTTCTACAGCTATCTTGGTGGGACATAGTGCAGGTGGTATCGTCAGCATGATGTTTGCTGCCCAGTATCCACGTCGGGTGGACGCCATGGCTGTCATCGGAGCTGGTAGGACTAAAGCAGTCAAATCTCCTGCCAAGAGCTTTACGCTGCAACTCTCTCACGCAGCCCGATCGAGGGGTCTTTGTTGGCACGTTGACGAGAGGGTGGATTATAACATACCACCTGGAACTGTCGGGCTTTCTCGCGCCTTGCTCCGAGCTGTTACCTCTCAAACCGATCCAGAGGGCTATGCGCAGATGTGCGATGCTTTATGTGACGACAGTCATGTTGATCCCGACTATTCACTGATCAGCTGCCCCACATGTGTGATAGGAGGGCTAGAGGATAATATTTCACCAGTTCATGTTACAGACGAGCTTGTTGGGTTGATCGCAAGTTCTGGGAAAGCTCCACTTCGGTACCTCTTCAACACCGGCCACATGATGATCATTGAAGATGTACATGGCACTGCTTCGGCAATAGATGATCTACTCAAACAGCTTCGCTGATGCAGTCCCCTCCTTCTGGCTGATCTTCCTTTTCTTCTCTTTCCACCCTCCGTGAGAAAAGCCTGTTCGATCTATAGGATTCTTTCCTAATTCAAAGTATTTATAGTAGGGATTATTTTATCAAAACGCGCACTGCCACTAAATCAAGTCCGTAGGGCAACTAGACGGAGAGGCCAATCTACTGCTATATGGGATGTCTAAACTATGCTTAGCCCTGGTTTTAACCTCTTCTCACCACAGTCCCTTTTCACCACCCTCTCTTTCACCACCCTCTCTTTCACCACCCTCTCTTTCACCACCCTCTCTTTCACCACCCTCCCTTTTCACCACCCTCTCTTTCACCACCCTCCCTTTTCACCACCCTCCCCTTTCACCACCCTCCCTTTTCACCACCCTCCCTTTTCACCACCCTCCCTTTTCACCACCCTCCCTTTTCACCACCCTCCCTTTTCACCACCCTCCCTTTTCACCACTCGCTCTTCACAGTAGAACCTCTTTCGAAAAGCTTATTCGGGAAAGGTCGTTGAAATAAACTGGACGACATTAATTTAAGCTATTTACTGCGAAACTTTGAGGTTGTTGAGCTGATAGAGTAGAAAACCCCATGAAATACTTGGTTACTAAAAGCCGTTGGAAAATTAAACGTAAAGCCACTCGAGTCGACTATTTACGGTAATACCATCATTTAAGGATTTTACCTCTAATGACGTTATATTGAAGCTACTAGTAATCCCCAGTTATCCAAAGCCTTTGCTCAATCTGCCCCTTTCCACCACCTCTCTTTTCAACTTCCACTAGCATTGCGATCCTGAGTCGAATATTTTACGGACTTGCTGAGCATAGTTACACCCGTTTTCAATATTGTAATCAGAAAACCCAGCAGACCACAACATAACTCCACCTCATGCAGGGTGGCCAACATATTCACGGAGTAAGGTCGCAAGTGCGTTTGGCTGAAGATAATACTGCGCTCCATCGTATGTTCCTGTGGCTGCATAAGGGGAGGCTGGTAACCCGATCAAGATTCTAGCATCGGAAGATGCGGTTCCAGCGATGTTAGTCACCCAAGACTCAAAATTGATGGCACCGTTAACTGAGCAGCTAGGATTGTTGTAGAACTGCACCGAAAGATAGTCGAACTGACTATTCGTGATAATATGTTGTGTATCTGGTTCAGGGATAGGACATTGTGGTGCCCCAGTAATGTAATATTCATTCAAAAGATCGGAATTGAAGTTAGAGCGCAAAGTGCTGATAAGATGTTGGCAGAACTCATTACCGCGTGAGGCCTCGATATCGAAGTCCCAGCCATTGACAAAAGTTGCTCCAAAGGGTTGATGTACGAAATCATTTTTCGTATTTCCATATGCGTCCCAGAGATACTGACCAATAGCTTCAGCCTCCTGCTGTGACAAAAGAGAGTATGCTCCCACCGCACCACCAAGCGAGAGAAGAACTTTGACTCCATTTTCTTGGCATTTATTGATTGCAGCAGCCAGATTATCGCATTGAACAGACTCTCCGTTCGGAAATATCGAGCACGACTGCCCAATCGTGCCCGATGCAATCGCATTTCCATTACCATACCCATAGAGAAGAGCTAGTACTATGATATCGATACCAGCTGTTGGTACGCAGTACGTAGATAGATCATTGTCCTCAATAGTGTTTCCCCCATTCTGTCCCCAGTACATCACGTTTAGAAAACGAGATGAATGAACTTCATCATTGTCCTCTATTGGCACTGCTGCAACGATGATACCAAGAAGAAGCAGGCTTGTGAATAGAACGAGAGAATGCATTACGCCACCCATCCCTGTGAGCTGGAGGAAGGCCTGGGTTAATATAGTCGAGGTTGTTTATTGCACGTCAAATAAATTCAACGAAACTGAAACTCTATTCATCTAGGATGGGCTGGTCTAAGATCTTATTGACGTAAAATCCCATTGACTCCAAGGGAGAAAGTTTTATCGCCTATTATGAAGACGGTCGCCACACGGTACTGTATAATCGGTGCTGTATAGCGGATTACAGAGGGCTTTCAGTCCCTCAACTATATACGAGTTTTACAGCATTGAAAGTAAAAGAGATATTTCGGCGGTTATCGGATCAACACTTTCCTATCTACCTTTCCTTCTCTCCATCTACACTTGAATACAACCAGCGTTCCGCTGACCACAAGATCTTAGTCCACTGAACTCGATGTCGGGTAGGGATGGGCGAAATCAATCGCTCGTATGTACTGCTATTGTGTAAGAGCCTAAAGTCTAGGCACTTGTTGATTATTGCAGTTTTCTGACCATGATATATCATGACGTATCTTCATGACCATGGCGAGACAGTCTCGTTTCTTAAAGTGGAAGTACAACGTACGGACAATGAGAGGTGAAATGCTCTTAGTGGTAAGATAGAGATGTGTCAGCGTATGCTGTGGTAACTTACCACTAGCAAGCGATTGGCTACCCAGGAACCCGCATTTCTTTGTGTTTTGTATGGTAAATTGGTTTAGCCCGCAACCTCGGTGTAGTAACCACCGAGTATTTGCACATACATGGGGTATTTCAACCTGCCCTCGATCGCATGTCTACCTTTCTAATCAATCCTTTTTATCCTAAAATTGATTCCGCTTGATCTCATTCGCCCTGAATGCATACTAGTCCATACACTTTTAGCTTGTTCTGATAGTACCGTATCGAATGTGGGCCACGGAAAAGTGTTGACCAGCATTGATACAGGATGCGCAATGTGCACTGCAGCGTATAGCAAGCGTGAAATGAATATACTCATCGATCTCGCGATACGTGGTGGTAACCAGATTGCCTTGAGAAGCTGCGTAAACTGCATTGCTTTTACCCCATGTTTTTCAACGTCGTGCTGACTCGTGCATCAAAGGTTAGCACGTGCGTGGGCTGTCTGTCTACTCAGCACTGGTGCAGTATGGCCCAGGAAGATTTAATTGGAGGCAAATTCTCCCCCAATGTAATCTTCTCTATTTAAAATCCATGGAAACCCACTCTGTTGCACACGCTCAATCTTCTCCCATTCTTCCCTAATGGACCCACCCGCGGTATCCTCTGCACCAGCCGACCGACCGGCCAAGAGACGGCGAAGACCCTCCGATACGGCAGACGATAGAGAGGTTGGGGCCAAAATTCAAATAATGCCGGCAGAAAAGGTCACTAGCCCTAATATGGAAGGTTCATACCCTAGGCTTGTATATTTCTGCCAAAATATGTTAAGCAAGTATTTCTGGAGAAGGGCAAAAAGTGTGCCTCTATTCAGAGGTCATGACAGAGTTAGACCAAGGCCTCTGGAATTCTAGATGCATAAAACTATATCTTTAAAATCCTGCCTTCTCATTTACTATACTATGAGTTAACTAACTCTGATTGTTTGTAGGTGCTCAAAATCGCCCAAATATGCAGTTTCTGAATAGTTTTAACCTGCCCTCATACCCCTAGAGGCCCTACTACGCGTACGTGGTGGTGATATAGCCGGTGATGCTTCTACCCGAGGGCCTCTGGTGCCACTGCGTCTTGCACCACCACGTCGCAGCGTACTTGAAGGATCTCTTAGCTGCGGTGTATCCTGATGTGGCGTAACCTGCCGCTGAGGAGTAGCCCTTAAAGTAGCCTCTCTCCTAGCGTCAGTAGCCGGCTGTTCTGGTGGTGGGAGGGTCGTGCAATTGCTAATGTCGCTGGCCAAGCTCGATTCGCGGCTCATTATAGGCTCAGGTTTGATATGAAGCTGTTCCTCCTCACGTATAATAACAACATAAATCTGACGAGCTCCACCAGCCAAATCAAAACACTCGCAGAGATTTGTAGTACATCGCATGTAATCTTCAGTAGCGGATAGGATATATGGCTCCCTCTTGCCCTTTTGACCTTTTAGGCCTGTAGCTAACTGATATCGATCAGTAGACATTTCTGAGTATACCCCGAGATCAGGACTAAGCGCAGGCAGAAGATGTTTTGTAATAAAGTCGTTAAAGCCGTAAATTGTCTGTGGAGGAACCCACTGGGAAACATCACCTATATTGAAGTGTCTATTAGCAAATTGAAACCTACCTTGATTAAACTAAATAACATCGATATATTAACTCACTAAGCTCCTCAAACGTCCATGATTTTCTCTCCAGTGATGGTCTTCGCCAGAGACAGAAGTGGATAAGAGTTGGGGCCTGCTGTGGTGGCTCAGGCCTAGTAATGTGTCCTGGTCTAGTCCTCTTTATCTCTCGCTTGCGAACTCTACCTGCCACTCGTTGGTGTATTATACTATAGGGTTAGGAAGCAGGTCATGGCTCGGTATAAGCTGAGGGGGGTCTTGTCGGTGCTGCTCCTTGGCCAGTAGTATAGGTGGAGGAGGAGGATGGTGAATCGTCATATGGCCCTGTCAAATCGACTAGATCAGGCGTGTCGCTGGAATAATAGGCCATTTGGTGGGTAGTACTTTGTAGAAGATGCTCAATAGGATATACTAGGATATTAGGAGATTCTAGGACGTCAGGAGATACTATAATATCTTCTACAATCCCTAGAATAATAAAGTTCTGACAGAACTAGTGCTTGATATTTATTAATCTCCACTTTTACCTCTAACATAAGCCAAGCCTGCAAGCCGCTCCCTTAATTTTATGCCCAATCAGAAGACATAGTGGGCTTCTCGCACAGTGATAGGATCGGAATAGCACCTATTTGGGTATGATAGACGGCTCGCTCTCGTAGCCGAAGGTAGATCTCCACATATGGGCGGGTGCCGTCTCGTACTGGTGGCCTTTCAGGGTCAAACTGCATTTGTAGCAACTGAGTATGGCGCCATTCCATAGTATGCCTGGGGAGATATTCGTCAGCATCCCAGCCATCCACGTCATATCGCATAGCACTAAGCATAGCAGGGTCAAGCGTGTGCTGGTAATCCTTGATATCCTGTCCATCAGTATCCTGCCCTGGATAGTAGTAGTTCATCCATGGCTTGCCTGGAACACTATAGGGGCGTCCTTTCTGCTTCCTTATACGATGGGAGTTCCATGTCAGTACAAATTCCGCGCATGTGTCCTTAATAGAAGGCATATATACAGCAAGAAGAGCAATCTGGTCAGGGATAGTCGCCTGAAAGTGGCCCTGGTCCTGTAGCCAAATAAAGAGCTCACGCCACACGAAATTCATAGAGCTTGTAAGCTGTCCCCACCAGGACTCGATGCGTTGATTTTGGACACTACGGCCATACCAAAAGCAGTCAGAAAACTGAAGCATTGGATCGATATCAATGGCTTTCCGTAATGCATAGTGAGCATCGGCGATCAGCATCGTCTCAGTGCCTAGGTCGGAGCGGATAGTGCGCGGTTGGAAGCCAGTAGCCGATAATGTATCTATATATTGACGGAGAACGCTGAAACTAGTTCGCGTGCTTATACCTAGGGCAGACAGTCAGATACTCAAAGACCTTAGAATGACCCTATAGCGGTGCGCATACCAACATAGAACCAGGTAACATAACGCGAATATCCATCAATCGCAGCATATATCTCGATCCCATAAGGCTCTAGCTTCATATATCCATCAATGTGCCATACAAAGTTTGGCCCAGGGCATTTATAGGCACCGCGCGACCTCTGGAGATTGGTCAAACGACGCTCAAGAGCATCGGGGCGCAAAGAACACCAAATATCGAAGATTCGGTCTCTCGCATAGATATGCCCATGACGGCGTAAGTGGGCATAAAGATGACCCCGTCCGTACCCTTCAATAAGCCCAAAGCCTTGTTCCTCCTTCAGTACCTCTAGTATCTCGTCCTCCTGCTGACGCTGCTCGTCCTTATCATCAATGTGAAGGCGTATACCAAGCCGCCTACGGATTTGCTTAAGCGAGTCGTTGGAGATAGGGGTGCCATCGCGGGCGAGAACCTCGAGTATCTCTTTCGGAGACAGATTACCCTCACAGATGAGTGTCTCGACGCGTATTTGTAACGGTCTGTTATTGGTGATGCCTGTGGGTGCTCGTCGCTGGATACCCCAGGCCTGCGTACGGCGCTTGAATGTTCTAGGAGATATTTGGAGACCGTTTTTTTGGTGCAACATGTCTAGTATAACATTAATAGGCGTCTTCTGGGTCAGGAGCACAATGATTTGGTCCTTATAGGGCTCCATGTTGACCTGGGGTCGTCCAGCAGGCATGGTAGAAGGCCAGATTTGTCAAAAAGGCGTATCTTAGAGATTTGAGCTCTCAAAACTGGCGAAGATTCGTAAAGTTTAGTATGGTGAACCAAAATCTGGAAGAATGTTGGAAAATCTGGCATTTTGGAGGTTTCGGTCTAACTGACCAACACCACTCTATCTATAACGTACCCCCACTGCGCTATTGATAGAGCATACGGAGATCTGGTTGGTGGTGTACTTAGCGGTCAATCCAGGCGGAGCTCATCTCGGTGAGGCTAATGATTGGGTCAGGAATTTTGGCCCCTGCCTCACTATCGGCTGCCGTACCCTCCGAAGACACTTGCAACGACCCGAACGCAGAGAATATCTCACCAGCCTCATGTTCTACCGAAGCGAGCAACCTTCCTACGACGGAACTTAAGCAAATCCTGCGACGCAATGGCGACCTTGCCCTACCGGCCCTCAGACTCTTAGATTTGTATCTATGTCTATGGGAAAGTTACGTCGTTAAATCTGCGGAGAGTATCCGGCTTGAAGATGAGCGGCGTCACATATGCGAGTTAAACGAATCGCTGGAAGACGAGACTGATATTCTCCTCCAGTACTGCAACCGACAGGCAGTGGAGTTAGAGAGTCGGAAAAGGACAGTGAATGCATTCCACGCGAATGCCATGTCGGCTTTACAAAACATCGACCTCCCTTAATATCACATTGATAGACCTTGATTCATGCTTGGAACTATACGTCTTTTGTCAGTCTAGAGATACTTTCACCTTTCGATGGCACAACTTGATTTGGAACTTCCACGGATATGTAATTTGCCATGTATATGAAGCATGGCGAAGGTCGACAGGCCTATCAATTGCTTTCTTGTGATGTATTCCTTGGTAGCTTCGATGACCCCAAGTATTATCTATTTATATCTATTGCTCATGAGATTTCCTACCAATGTATGCTTTCCCCTCACATGACTTTTTCTTCTATCAGCAAGCCACACAGCTTTATTTTCTTCTTACCAGCTTATAGATAGGCTTAAAACATTTATTGTAGTTTTTGTTGACTCAACTACCCATTCTATTCTTTCGTCTATCTCCAGATGGGATCAACTCATTAAAGATATACTGTGACGTGTGGGATTGAATACATCCGACTTTGAACATCAAGGGGCAGAACATAAAATTGGAAAGTCCTATCACTGACCTCGCTCGCAATTCATCAGCCCTGCTACTTGGCCTTCCGAGCACTGCTCCCAATCATTGAGAATGCTGATCAATCGCCCCCGAGACGCCTCCAAAGCTTGATTTAGGTGATCAAACTGAGACAGCTGCTCGTCATGATGAGCCAGAAGCAGCCCCTTTTCATTTTCCAGTCGTGTATTCTCCCTTTTCAACTCCTGGTTGGTTTGACGAAGCTTCTCACTGCCACTATGTTTCGATATGCATGAATCTCAAAGTCGTCGGTAGAGTCCCAAGATTCGAGCTGCTTGAAACGCGAGTTTTGGATCATCCCGTTCAAGCTCTGTAAGAAGCTGTAGTACGGTACGTCTCGAAACCGGTGCAACAAGACTACTCCTCAACACTCTTCTTAGCCCCACTGCCAAGGCCTTAGCGCAGATCATTTATTGAGGTTGCCACCACACCGAGCTTAGATCTGCCGCAAAAGCCCATCAGCAGCACAGTAACTATCAATCCTACCCATTATCCAAAGTATTAGAACCACTTCAACAAGAGGGAATACGATGCCATACAATATTCATTATAGAGGTCCTCAATTTAGTGCGGGCACCTTAATGAATGAACTGCGCTAAGGTCTTGGCAGTGGGGCTAAAAAGAGTGTCTAAGAGTATTCTTGTTGCACCGGTTTCGAGACACACTGTATCGGCTGGAGAAAAACGCCTTGGGATAGTCGAGACTGTACCGAAGACGATCGACTGTATCTCTACAGGATCCGACTTGAGCACCTGGAAGACCCTGTAACCAGAGTGGGAAGCGCTGTATCCATTGCGAAAAATGTCGGGACGGGCCGCGATGCGAACCCCTGAACCCCCTGACCGCGACGATCACGAAGACCCACCATCGCGACTTTTGAGACCGAGACGCACCACCAGACCACCTAACAACTATGCTCAAGAGCAGGAGAAATGCACTGAGCAGAGAGAGACGCGCTCCCAGCAGAGCAAGAGAACCCAAGACAAAACAGTAGCTCAACGTGACGCGGTAGCTTCGGACGACTCGACAGAGAGCGAGGACCTGAACACCGCCAAACTAGTGAAGGAGCTTGTCAAACTCAGGAGAGAGATCAGACAGCGAGATGATTTGCATAGAGAAGAGGTCCAGAAAGTTCAAGAAGAATTTCAGAAAGAATTTCAGAAAGTCAAGGAAGAATTTGGTGCCGCACTCGCAGAAGTTCGCAACGAGTTACAGATCCTGACTGACAGACCCCCGACACCGCAATCGCACTGCGAATCATGCTCACAGAACAGCAACGACGAGATCCTCCGCGAAATTCACTCCCTGCGCGATGCCATCAGCCCGGCCGTTCCCACTGGCTCCCCGTCCTATGCGGATGTTGCCCGTACCCCTCCAACCAGTCAACCGAGCAACATACGAACTCTCTCATCGTCGAACACGACACCGACCACCTTCACTGACACGTTATATTGCACGATAGATACCTCGAAGATGGCAGACAATGAAAACGAGAGAATGTCCGCAGGCCGAGTCAGGGCGGCGGTGGAGACAGAGATCCGGACGATGGAAGGCCACATGCACTGGCGCTGTCGCGCTGTCACTGTGGACCCGAAGAACACTAACCGGATCAGAGTAGCTTGCCGAGACGAAGCTGAGCATCAGCTAGTCAAAAAGGCGGCGGAAGCAAAGATCGGCACAGGAGCCCGGGTGCTTCGTGACGAACTGTACCCGATCAAAGTTGACAGTGTCAACAAGGCCGCAGTCCTAGATGATAAAGATGAGATCCGAGCCGGTGTCGCGGCAGCCTTTAGCGAGGAGAACGAAGCTACCGTGGCCAAGATCGCATGGCTCAGCAGGAAAGAAAGTGCAAAGGCGTATGGGTCAATGGTTGTGTACCTAACCAAAGGCTCTGACGTACGGAGGCTCCTGGCCGAAGGGTTCTTCCACGCTGGGGGAGAATCTGGCGTGACCAGCGCCTTTGAATATCGACCACGTCCGATGCAATGCTACAGCTGCCAGGAGATTGGCCACAAGGCCTTCCAGTGCAGGAACGTCCAGAGGTGTGCAAAATGCGCTATGGAGGGCCACCGCCACAGTAACTGCGCCCAAACGGTTCCAAAGTGCGTTCCATGCGGAGGCCCACATGAATCATACAGCAAAAATTGCCAGAAGCTCTATCCGTCACGTCATGAATAAAACACTCCGAATAATCCAACTGAATGTGAGGAAACAGGGAGCAGTGCATGACAGTTTAATGAACGACGAAGAAACTCAGGGGGCAGTGGCACTGGCGATTCAGGAACCCCAAGCGAGAAGAATTCAAGGCCGGCTGTTGACAACCCCGATGGGACATCACAAATGGACCAAGATGGTTCCCTCCACCTGGAGGGAGGGCCGATGGGCGATCCGAAGCGTGCTTTGGATCAATAAGGAAGTGGAAGCGGAGCAAGTGCCGATCGAGTCGCCGGATCTGACGGCGGCGGTCATCCGCCTCCCCGAGCGACTGATTTTTATGGCATCAGTTTACGTAGAGGGAGGGGATACTTCGGCGTTGGACGACACATGCGAGCACCTAAGAAAAGCAATCACAAAGGCACGGCGAGATTTGGGGACTGTGGTGGAGGTCATGGTTGTAGGGGACTTCAACCGCCATGACCAACTCTGGGGAGGAGACGATGTGTCCTTGGGCAGGCAAGGCGAGGCGGATCCCATCATCGACCTCATGAATGAATTTGGTCTCAGTAGCCTGCTCAAACGAGGCACTAAGACATGGCACGGCGGAGGACAGACTGGGGACTGTGAGTCCACGATCGACCTCGTTCTGGCCTCGGAAAGCTTGACAGACTCGATGGTCAAGTGTGCAGTACATAGAACGGAGCACGGCTCGGACCACCGCACCATTGAGACCGTTTTCGATGCTCCTTGGTCGGCTTCTAAGCAGCCAGAGCGACTGCTGCTGAAGAATGCACCATGGAAAGAGATAAATGCCAGAATTACGAGAAATCTAGCCACCACTCCGTCGGAAGGCTTGGTACAGCAAAAAGCCGATCGGCTCATGTCCGCGGTGTCGGAAGCAGTGGGAGCTTTGACGCCAAGGGCCAAACCGTCACCGCACGCAAAGCGATGGTGGACGGCAGACCTGACACAACTCCGTCAAATATACACATATTGGAGAAACCATGCCCGCTCGGAGCGACGAGCAGTGCGAAAAGTGCCGCACCTGGAGAACATGGCCGCGAGTGCAGCGAAACAATACCACGATGCAATACGGAAACAGAAGAAAAAGCACTGGAATGAGTTCCTGGCCGATAATAATAATATATGGAAAGCCGCAAAATACCTGAAGTCGGGAGATGATGCAGCATTCGGGAAGGTCCCACAGCTCCTCAGGGCGGATGGAACTATGACCGCCGATCATAAAGAGCAAGCGGACGAACTACTGACCAAATTTTTCCCGCCACTGCCGGACAGAATTGACGATGAAGGGACGAGGCCGCAGAGAGCGCCCGTGGAGATGTCTGCTATCACCATGGAAGAGGTCGAACGGCAGCTGTTGGCGACAAAGTCTTGGAAAGCACCCGGTGAAGATGGCCTACCGGCGGTAGTGTGGAAGATGATATGGCCCGTAGTCAAGCACGGGGTCCTGGAGCTATTCCAAGCGTCGCTAGAAGAAGGCACATTGCCCAAGCAGTGGAGACATGCGAAGATCATACCGCTCAAAAAACCGAACAAAGAGAACTATACAATTGCGAAGGCCTGGAGGCCGATTTCACTCCTTGCGACACTGGGCAAGGTGCTGGAATCAGTTATCGCAGAAAGAATCTCTCACGCGGTGGAGACCTACGGCCTGCTCCCGACCAGCCACTTCGGGGCCCGTAAGCAACGGTCAGCGGAGCAAGCACTCTTACTTTTACAAGAGCAAATCTATGCGGCATGGCGTGGCCGACGGGTCTTGAGCTTGATCAGCTTCGATGTCAAGGGGGCCTACAATGGGGTTTGCAAAGAACGACTGCTCCAGAGAATGAAGGCACGAGGCATACCGGAGGGTCTTCTCCGCTGGGTCGAGGCATTCTGCTCGGAACGGACAGCGACTATTCAAGTCAACGGGCAAGCATCTGAGGCCCAAAGCCTCCCACAGGCGGGGCTACCTCAGGGATCACCCCTGTCCCCGATCCTCTTCCTCTTCTTCAACGCAGACCTTGTACAGCGACAGATCGATGGCCAGGGCGGAGCAATCGCGTTCGTGGATGACTTTACCGCGTGGGTGACCGGACCGACTGCGCAGAGTAACCGGCAAGGTATCGAAGCAATCATCAATGAAGCACTCAACTGGGAAGGAAGAAGTGGAGCGACTTTTGAAGCAGAGAAAACTGCGATTATACACTTCACCCCCAAGGCCCACAAATCGGACTCGGGGCCATTCACCATTAAGGGAGAGACCGTTGAACCCAGTGATCATGTCAAGATTCTTGGCGTCATAATGGATACGAGACTCAAATACAAGGAACACATCG